AAGTTTAAGTAGGTGTTCTCAGTTTTAAGTAGGTGGCCAGTTGGGCCTCCATGGGAAAGCAAGTGACTGAAGTCCCTGAGGGCAGCAGGGCTGGAGCAGAGTAAGTTGGGAAAGAAATTAGATGTGGTCACAGAGGTGTGAAGGCATAGTTTGTATGTCTCATGGGTCATCATAAAATCTTTGGTTCTTCCTTTGAGTCAAATAGAGCCAACTGGATTGTTTTTTTGCCAAAGAAGTGTGTTGATCTGAATTAGGTTTTCCATAGCTGCCATACTGGCTGGGGATGGGGCAACCAGCCATCCCCACTGGCTGAGAATGGAGGGCTTTGCTGGAATGTGGTAGTTTTAGTACCAAAACTAGGAAAGACTCAGGCAAATGGGTATGGTTGGTCAGCTTAAAACCATACCAGTTTTATCTTTTGTCCTCCTTTCAAAACCAACCTGTGTTCCCCATAACAACCATTTCAATGTTTGATAGTTGAAATATGCAGATCATCATGACATACAGTGCTGTGTGCCTTACACTTGCATGAATGACATCATGTGATAGATCCCATTTTTTTAAGTATTCAACACTATTTGTAAGATCCATCCATTCTGCTGCACTTATGGCAAGTTCATCGTCTCTGAAGGCTGAGCAGCATTCAATGGTTTGCATCTGCTACCTTCTCACTTATTCAGGAGCTCGCTTGCCTCCGACAACATAGTAACTCAAATAGCACTGTGGGGGCATCCTCCTGTAGTCCTCCTACAGACCCAGGTGGGAATTTCTTGGGAGACACTGGCTCTTGGACATGGGCACAGCTAACTTGAAAGTGCTGCCAGTGCACTGTAATGTAATTTCCAGAGTGCCTGTAATGGTTTGCACCTGCAGCAATACGTGGGTGCTGGTGCTGTCACTGTCCACACTTCAAGTCTGGCAATTCTGAGGGCTGTAGGGTATTGGCTTTAACTTAATTTGCATTTCTCTGGCTTTCTCAGTTAATCTCTCTCTCTCTCTCTTTTTTTTTCTTTATCCTCACCCGAGGATATTTTTCCATTTTTTGTTCAGATAGAGTGGGAGGGAGAGAGAGGAAGAGAGAGAGAGAGAAACATCGACGTGAAAGGGACACATCGAGTGGCTGCCACCCACACAACCAACCAGGGCCGGGGACAAACTGCAACCGAGGTACGTGCCCTTAGCAGGAACCGAACCCTGGTCTCTCAGGACCGCAGGCCGACACTCTGACCGTTGAGCCAAACCAGAAAGGGCCTCGCTCTCTTTTTTAAAATGTACAACAGAGGCTGTACATTTATTTATTACTGCCCATATCCATTAAAGTAACTCTATGAGCCTAATTCTCACTTTATTTTTTTTCTTCTATATCTTCTTGTCAACCATTAGGACTTGCCCTCCTGGAATCACCTATTTATCCCTGTAGCCCATTTTTCTTTTGACTTCCTTTTTTTTGTTGATTTGCACGAAATCTTGTATAATATATATTAATCCCTTTTCAATTTTAGTCACTGTAAATGCCCGCTTGGTCTGCTATCTGTTAGCTTTGACTGTGATGGCTTTCAAACTTCTGAAGTAGCTAAATCTGTGTTTTGCCTCCTTATATTTGGTGCTTTTGGGGGAAGGTTCCAAAAGTGACTAACTTTTAAGGACAAGTTAGGGTGAATAATATGTTTAACCTATGCTTAGAATAAGATCAATATACTGAAATTATTTTCTCTAAGCTCGGCTTCAGAAAATACCCATCTTACTTTGCCTCTGCTCATCACCACCTAATTCTGGGGTTTCTTTTTCCTTTAAGACTGAATGGGTTAAGGAAGAAAAACACTTGAAGTAAATTTGGTTCTCCTACTTTTTCTAAATATAGCTTTACAATGCAACACTTTACCCTGGCCGGTGTGGCTCAGGTGGTTGGAGCACTGTCCTGTGCACTGGAAGGTTGTAGGTTTGAGTCCTGGTCAGAGCGCATACAAGAATTGATGTCTCTCTCTCTCACATTGATATTTTTATTTTCTCTCTTCCTTCCTCTCTTTCTAAAAAAAAAAAATCATTAAAATGCAACATCCCCCTTAATAAACTTTATGGTGGGAAGGAAGAGTGGACGATGACTGAGAGGCCAGGGATTTCATTTCACCCTTTATATCACATTGTATGTGGTTCGAAAACTGTACAACAAGATTGAGAATAAAGTATTTGTAAGCTATTTGTTCTACAAACTCTAGAAACCTAAAGAGGTGATTTGACAAAAAGTCACTACAGACTACATGAAGCACTGTGCTACACAATGATTCTTTATTGGACCAGTCATACATACAGAGATACAGAAAGTTAACAGGTCATGATCCTTGTTCAAGAAGGTTCAGGGATGGTACAAACACACTGATGGACCACAGGGCCAGAGAAGATGGAAGAAAATTAAAAAATGTAATTTGAACATTATGGAAAACAGCCAGGAAGTTCCAGAAAATTCTCTTGTGCTGTCATGACCAAAATAAAGGCCGTCACAAGGCTGAGTGAAGCCCATTAAACACGAGGCGCCTGCCTGTTGAGGGTAACCTAGGTGATACAGCTCAGGCCAAGGGAGAGGTGCTGAGCTCGGTTCCTGGAGCTCAGCTGTGTCGGCAGAGGCAAGAGGATGACTCAGTTTTCAAAAAATGCCCACTTCAAACTGATTATCATGGAGACAAGAAAGGGTGAAAGGTGGTGTTGACCCCCAGTTAGAAACCTATGAGAAGAGCAAGAAAAGCCAGCCTGGATATTTTCTAGAATTAATACAATGAAAGAGTAAGTCCCACACTGGGAATTAGGAAGGCATCCTTGTCGTCTGATGGCCTGGTCACAAACTAACTTTCCCCACTCCAGAGGAGGAAAACACAAAATGTGCTTTCCCCTCCCTTTAGTGCAGTTTATGTAATTAAACCAGAAGCCTGTTCTTTGCGCCCATCACCATTATGTTCTGCAGGAGCTTTCAGTGTTTTCCTCCAAGCAGAAATCCTTCCTAGGCCCTAGTTTTCCTGTTTGGGCTTCTCTAGGCCTCTTACATACACAGGCTGTTGACAGAAACCTTGAAGTGGCCATGAAGTCTGGAGCCCAGATGCAATTCACCTGTCAAACAGGATCAAAGCTGCAGGGCACAGCTGGAAGGCCAGCGCCGCCCTCGTCCCCCTGTGGAGGTCTTAGTCACCCTTAATGGATATATTGATAGAAAGAGGCACCACACACCAGGGAGGAGGAACTAACCTTGTTAAAAAACAAATGAAAATGCCTTAACAGATAGCTTCTTTTGGGAAGAGCAGGCGGGAGCACAGGCCGAGGCAGTCAGGCTCCGACAAGCCCACAAGCCAAGGCGGGGCGGACACAGCAAGGTATTGCGTTTCATCCTGACCCAGAAGCTCCAGACAAACTGCCGAATCTGCCAACTTGGGCTTTGGGATTAAAGGTCGCTCCTGCCTTTTTAGGACCTTTCCATAAGAAGACAGTCTGACTGTGAGAGAGATGACATTCACTTCTCTGCTCCCAGACCAGTGTGAGGGCCACAAAGCCTTTTGTGCAACCATTAGCATTTCAGGATCTAAAAACAAGGCTCCATGTGCCTTCCAGGTTCATGGGACAGATGGAAACCAGTGAAAAACGAAAACCCAGAAACCACTGTCTTTCAGATCTTAATGCAGATAACCACTGGAAACAAGCACTTACTTCTCCTCAATCAAGTGGAGTAAAATTTAGGTATCTTCAGATGCCTTAGATATGTTTTTCCCTCCAGCCCAAAGACCTGTATTTATTGCACTGCCTCAGAATTACTGAAGTTCTCTGAACATCCTCCTCCTAGACTTCCTGCTGTCAACGGCCAAGCACTGTACTTCTGTGCTCAGTCCACTCTCTGCACCCCCATCTCGTCTGCCCACCGCTCACCTCTTAGGCTTTTTTATTGTTCTTAATAGCTGGTCTCCTTCCCTCCCCATCAGTCTCTATCATCTATTTTCAGCCCCACCTCCGTCTGCCAGGAAAACCTCTATTTATATATTTGCAAACCGAACAAAGCTCTAGTTTCTAAGAGTTATTAGTAATATTAATAAGATTCATATTTGTCTGGGAATAAGCCTACGGCTTTAAGCTTTGATTGAAATGCAAAATGGTGTAATATAAAGTCAGCATTTGTTTTTACTATAAAATACGTTAGTTCATTTAATTTCTTCTTGTCTTTACATATAATTAACAGGTACTTTAAAATGCCTTAGAGAGAGCTGTCTTGGTGTGGCCTTTATTGTGGGGAATGCTCAGTGTCACACCCTTCGGTACTTTCTCCGCGTGGTGTCCGGCTCCAGAACCAGGACGCACAGCCCTCCCTGCACAGCCCGCACGGGTGCTGCACCCTGCACACGGACACAGCAAATGCACAGATCACAGTCAGATTCAAACAGTTTATTTCACTGAATTCAGAATCAAGTTCAACAATGCATTTTAACAGGTAACAAGATTCAAACATCAGAGGAAAATCTAGTTAAATCACAAAAAAGCAAGCTTGCACATGGACCACTGATGAACTTTCATTTTGAGTCTCAACACCGGGTGAGAATGACCAAAAATGGAAAGTGACATGACATCACAATAACCCCCCAAAGGTAATTATTCTTACCTCGAAGAATAAAATACATTTATGCTCCCTTAGTTTTTGTAATTCCTAACTGGAAAACATAACCTTATAACAACAAAAAATTCTCCTTGGTTGGTCACATCATTTATTATTGAAAGGGAAAATCAGTCTTGGTGGTTTTGCTCAGTGGTTAGAGCGTCGGCTGGAAGACCAAAGAGTCTCGGGTTCAATTCCATTCAAGGGCACATACCTCTGTTGTGGTTCGGTTCCCGGCCCTGCTCGGGGGACCTGTGAGAGGCAACCAATTGATGTGTCCCTCTCACATCAATTTTCCTTCTCTCTATCTCCCTCCCTTCCTCCCACTCTACCTGAAGATAAATGAAAAAAGTATCCTTGGGTGAGAATTAAAACAAAAGAAAAAGGGGGGGGGGGAATCAGTATCATAAACAAAGAAAACACCAAAATAGAAATAAATAACCAAATAATTTACTTGAAGGTAGTTTCGCTGCAATGCATATTACCATGCAAAATCCTAAAGCTGATTTTTTTTTTAAAGCTTGGAAAACACATTTGCCTTTTTGAGTTTCTTGCTAAGTGAGATGCATGCTTCTTACAAGGAAACTATTCTATGTTAGGACTGAGTCTAAAATTTAAATATCTGGTAACCTTGATTTTGCCAACATGAGAGCACAGGTATAGGCAATGGGAGTGAACAAGTGATCCCGCCCTCCAGGGTGGCCAGGCTGAGCCACAAGCAGCCCCTTGGGCTTGCCCCCAGGTTGGAGAGTGCTGCCTACAGCCAGGAGTATAGGGGGAAGATGTGCAAAAACCACTGGTACAAAACACTGTTTGTAGCTTTACTGTGATTTCCTCACATGGACTGTCAAGGCCTGAGCGTCTGAACAGGAGCAGCAGGGTGATGTGGAGCAAAGGGCTGCTGCTGGGACTGAACACAGACCGGTTTCCCTTCACAAGGCCTTTAGCAAGTACCCACCAGTCTGATTTCCTTTGCTTTCTATTACAAATATTCAGAGTTTACAGCCTTCTCCTCCTGAATGAAGCTCCTCTCCTGGCTTCCTCTCACCTCAGCCCACCCTGCACCACCAAGAAAGCACCTGGCTGTCTTCTCTCCCGTGGCATAAGGTGGTAAAAAACGACGTGAGCTCTTCTCATGGCTGCAGAAGGTTCCACACAAGACAGTGAGCCCTCCTGAACAGGACTTTTTAAACCGGAGGGCAGGGAGGAGGAGAGAGGCATTTTTCTTGGTTTATCAGAAAAATGATCTTGAAAATAATCTATAGGAAAAGTTAAGAAGTGAAATTCTGGTGCATAAACAAGTATTTTAAAATGGAAATTGCCATGCCTCGGCCCCTCGGAGGAAACCCCTCCCTGAACCAGGTGCGCTGCCGTCCTCTCAGCAGCGTCTTCTGTAAGGACAGCCAGCAAGCGCCCCAGGCTCTCCAGGTCAGTCTCTGCCACACATTCCTCACTCTTCTGTCTCTAATTCTCCCTTAAAAATTGAAACACATTCTGAGCTCACAGGTCTCCCAGATTTTCCCTGTAGGCAACAATCTGTCAGTCTCTGCTCCAGGGAGCTCTTTGGCAGGGAACATGGGCACTGAACTGTGCAGAGTCTAAGGCTGTTTGGACCCTGGAACCTGAATTTGGGGATTTCTTTCAGAGAGTGAGGTGGGTCCTTGCAGAGGGATCCTGAGACCAGGTGTAAAGCAGAGCTCCTGGGTTCGTCTCTACACTGCTCCCCAAACAGTACAGAGCTGGACCAAACTGGCATTCTTTACTCAAAAAGTAGCTATTTATGGTAGAAAGTCATAATTTTGGCCTATTTAAATCTGTGCCTGTGCTGGCTCACCCTTGCCTTGATTGTAAAAGCAAAATCTAGGCAGTTAAAATTCTTCATTCTACAGTTTAGGGCCTTATTGTTCCAAATGGTTGGTGGGAGAAAGATGAAGTGTAAACTCACTTCCTCTTCAGTACTAATGCCACCCACCATCCAAGAACTCCCGGAGAAGCACGCCAGCTCCTTCTGCTTCCAGGGAATCTCTGACACAGCTCATGTGTGGCCAGGGACCAAGGATTTCCTGTTTGGAGACCAGCCTTTCAGAAGCTGGCTCTTTCACGGGGACACTTATCTCCACCCTCTGAAATAAGACTCTTTCCACCTGGGCTGCTGTACCACCACACAGCTCCTCCAACCTTCTGAATATCTCAGAGGCAAATACTCTACCGATAATTTTTTTCCTTGTTAGAATATTCACTTTGAGAATACGAGAATTTGCATTTCTTTCATAAATTAGTAATCTCTTAAACCATCACTATCATGGTTTTAAGTAATTAATAAACAAGATAAAAATCCTACTCAGAATCTAAATTCTTTCTCTATTCAATGATATTTTTAAAAAGCAGCTGATGGTTCTCAAAATATATATCTGCTATCAACTAGACAAATTTAACTCTTCTGGAGTTAAGCAGTGTGTGCGCGCGCGCACACACACACACACACACACACATAGAACTTCAACTAAAAAAAACTAAGAATTCCCAATAGTTCCAAACTAAACAAATAGGTGAAAAACAACTGAGCTCACATATGCCAATCAATGGTCTTTTTCAGGTTTTTGTTTATAATGTCAAACTTGTTTTCTTCAAAACATGGGTTTGTTTTTTGTATTCCACTCTGAGCCTTCTCTTACTGTGGATGTACAGCGGCACTGCCATCATAGCCTCAGCCCCAACAGTAATAGAGAGAACTTACCAAGCTAAGTATGGGGTCTTCAGAATAGAACTGCTGAAATAATTTTTAATTAAGGGAGGAATACCAACTAAAGTTGGAAGAAACTGGAGCACAATCAAACAAGCAAAGATGCACTATAAGAAATACTGACATGCCTGTGAGCTGGCACCAGCTCTAGTTCTAATTACACTGAAACCAATGAAACTTCACACATTTTCTAAGTGTTCGAAGGCCACTGAAGGATGGGGTGAAGAAAGTAACTACCTGCGGTCAGGAAAAGATAATGGTAATGGGGATTTTTCTAAATAAAATAAAATGAAACAGTAAATTCTGAAGTGTTTCTAAAAGAAAGAACACAATATTCCTCATTCTCTTTCCTTAGCATTTTTCACACAGACATGGACACACAGCACTCTAATCATTATTTCACATTTTTCAGGTCTCTTCACTATCCATTTTAAAAATAGTTACCTCCTGGTAACTAGTTTTCTCTACTTCAGATATATTATCTTTCTCTATTTTGGATATAAAAGGTTTTGATTTTTTTAAACCTGAAAAGAAAACATACAGTAACAGACCTAAACAAGAAATAAAAACTAAACTTTAGGTCAGAGCTTTGAAGACAGAGGGAAAGCATTTTAATTTCAGTCAGTAGGATTTTTTGGTTCTGTACAAGTATCACCCCTTCAGTCCTATCTCCACTGACAGAAAACACCATGGCCATTTCCCTAAAATATCAAAGTGCATCTGTTTAAAATTAAACATACCTTAAAGAAAAAACTAACATCTTTGTAATTTTTGGCAGCTGTCCTATGTGGCCAAAATGAAGTGATTTTCCCTTTCCCCACTCCTCAATTAAAGCTGTGTACAAAACGGCTCAACGCAATTCTTCCAGGACAGCAGAGTTTATAAACAATGGATTTTCTTCGTTTCAAGGAACAAAATGGGAGAGGAAAAGTAAAACCAAACAAAGATAAAGAGAAGAAACCCTGAGGCAAAAATGGCTTTTCCTTTAGAAAGTCTTCCTGGGCTCTAACTCCCTGCGCGGTCATAGGTGCCCACGATCTTCTGGGCCGGAAGGCCCTCCTCCAGCCAGAGGGCAGCGGCAGATCCACTGCGGAGCATGCGCCGGTGAATGCGCTGGAGCCGCAGCAGGTAGAGGAGGATGGACAGCAGGACCACCAGGAAGCAGCCGGAGAACAGGTAGTGATTGTAGACGAAGGAGAAGCCCCGCCAGTGAGCGTGACTGGCCCGGAAGGCCTCCTGCTGGATATCTCTGCCCACATGGAAACAAAACCAAACCAACCAGATGAAAAGTCACAGAGGACCAATCAGGTAAGAACTGTGACAGAGCAGTGGACTGGATATGGGTTGGAGGGACAAGGGTCACGCTCTGCATACAATAACTAACCTTGAGACTCAGTTTTCTTACCTCTAAAATATAAGATAATATGGCCTAACAGAGCGCACTTGTAAGTATTAACGAGACAACATGTGAAAGTGTCTTCATAAGTCTGCAGCAGTTACCATCATCACAATTAGGTTAAAACAAAAATCAGAGAAATTTAGAACTGCTGGTTTCGTTAATACACGAAAGACAATGTAGAATTAAACCATGTTTCTGATCAGTAATATCCACTAATAATTTTTGCAGTTAACCCAACTACATGTATTGCTTGCAGATGCTCAAGTGAATGAAGGGGGAAAAAACTGAAAAGGCTGAGACCTCATTTTTCAGTGAACCAAGGTTCTTCTGGGGGGGTCAACTGACAGCCGGGTCTGTGAACCTGAAGGGGGAAAAATGCCATCTTTCTTTTACCAATCTCCAACCGTAACGTAGTATTTCCACTGAACATGAATGTAGCCAACAAACTACTGTGGTATCAGCAGGACTTGTGATTTTGTTCCTAGTGAAACTCTCAGATCTTTACATCACACTGTGGTGCTTTGTGGATCACTACACTGAAACTACAGAAGGTACCATTTCTATTGCCAGACCGTGTTATTTCATGTGTTACTAAAGAATACATACGTATTACCAATTTGTTTTCTGTACTATTTTGATAAATATATTTCAATGCAATGGTTTCCTCCATAATCTATGCATTAATATTAGGCATTAAAAACAGTGTTCTGAAAAGGGCTCCAAGGCCATAAAGATTAAGAACCCAAGAGCTGACCCTCTTGTGCAGAGGTTGGGGAACTGACACTTGAGAATAATCAAGTCCTTGTGCTGCATTTGATGGGATGAGGAGGGAGGAAGGGAGAAAGGAATGGGGTGGGAAGCAAGGTCAAAGTCATTGTGTCTGCAATTCTGCCCACAACCAGCGCTAACAAGGGTGCCCCAGAGAGTCACCAACCACAGCTGTCACGATGTAGCACAACTGAAGAAAAGCATCTTGTGTTTGATCTTTGTTACCAAGTTCACATCCATACCTTAAGGGTAAGAAGCGGGTCCTGTAAAGGATTGCTCCAAGGGTCCATTGAACCTCCTTGTCATAAACTTGCAAGGCTGTCTTTAAATTTTTATAGTCGACAGGAAACGAAAAGCCCCTGTGAAACACCTCGAACATCCAGGCAGATTTGAAGCACTGATACCTAATGAACACCAAGCACAAACAGAAGTGGGACTGACTCACTTGTCAAAACAAACTGTACACAGGACAGTCTTTCCCCTGTGACCACTGTGGGTGTGAAGGCCACACCAGGCCTGTGCTCTGCTCGGCCAAACCGTCGCATGCACTTCAAGTTAATTCACTTGGCTATACCCCTTGTCCCACAACACGAAACAGTTTACCTATCAATCAACCAGCTCATGAAACTTGGTCTCAGGATAATTTAATACACTGCCATGACAGACTTTTTTCCTCTGGCATTCCAAATATCTTATTCATTCAATAAATACCAAGTAAGGCCCTGGCCAGTCTGACTCAGTGGTTACAGCGTCGGTCTGCAGACCTGAGTGTCCCAGGTTTGGTTCCCGCTAGGGGCACGTACCTCGGTTGCGGTTTGTCCCTGGCCCTGGTTGGGGTTGCAAGGGTGGCAACCAGTCAATGTGTCTCTCTCACATTGATGTTTCTCTCTCTCTTTTCCTCCCTCTCTCCCTTCCACTCTATCAGAGGATAAATGCAAAAATGTCCTTGGGTGAGGATAAAAAAATGAAACACCGAGCAAGTTCCAACTTCTTAGGACCTTAGTTTCTTTATTATAAAATGAGAAGAGAGGAGAGTCGATTTCTCTGATAGTCTATTACTCTAAATATTTATCAGAGGTTTACTTTTTGAAAAGAACTGGGCTAAACAATTTAATAAGACATAATAACAAAATAGTCAATGCATTTAAATAACTTATAATAAAAGGATTTTTGAAAGCAACAAATATCTCTAAACAAAGCAGAAATGATAAACACCACTAGAGAAACATAATGAATGCTCTGGGTATTCAGAAGGAAGGATGGAGTCTGACTGAAAGGGCAGAAGAAGACTCAAAAGGGACAGTGCCTAGCCTGACTCTGATGTCCGGGCAGGACTTCAACAGCAAAGGATGAAGAGGGGAATTCCAGGCAGAAAGAGCAGCAAAAGTGAGCAAAAATATGTTTGGAGCAATATATGTTTGGGTACAAGTATTTGTCACTCTGTTGAAAGGCCAGGATAGATGAGAACAGTGACTGACAAGGATAAACAGGCAGGCTGGGGCAGTGCGTGGGGAACCAGGGAGCAGTATAGAATGTGCTGTTTCTAACACCCTGGGCTTGCCGTCCATGACTTACTTTAGCCTGTGGAGGTCAGCGTGAGAGGCGTACAGGCCTTGGTCAAAGCGCTCCCGCAAAATCGACCACTTCGTTGCACAGTAATCCTGAAAGAAATTTTACCCAAAATAAATAATCAGTAAAGGTTTATTAAACATTTTTTCACTTAAAAAAGGGCTTACCAAATTATATTCGTAATAAGCATATCTTTCCAATTAGAACAGAGGTTTAACTTATGTGTACCAAGAAGACACACAACCACTCAGTGAATACTACTGACTCGCAGAGTGCTCGTTCTGTCTTAAAATTCTGCCAAAGTTATCGTTAAAGAGAATTTCACTGCCCACAACCAACCTCTTCGAAATGGCTGTCTCCCCGTGACTGCTTGGAGTGAAGCGGTGCTTGGCCAGTTCAGACTAAGTGGCTATGTCTGAGGTTACACAGCGCGCGGTTCTGAGAGCAGATGACTGCACAGACTTTGACGGGAGAGTGCCACCTTCTCCTGTCATTATTTGTAATCATATTAATAGCTACCATTTACTGAGCACTGTGTAAGTACCTTTTCTGAATTTAATACTTAAAATGACTCTTCAATATGGCTACTATTCTAACCTCAAGGATGAACAAACTGAGGCACAGAGAAGTTGAGAAACTTGCAACAGGGAACATGAACACCACTTGGCCTGAAGTGAGAGGGCAAGGACGGGCATCAGACACAGGAAACATCGTGAACGAAGATGACATGGCAAGTAGCACAGAGTGAGGGAAACACGGACTGGTCTGATACAATCACAGTATAAAGAGCTAGCTGGGCAAATGATGCTACAGCGTGGGGAGGACACGCTAAGGTATTTGAAATTCATCCTGGAAGGAAAAGATGCTGCAGATTTTAAATAGGAGTGCACGTGACTGCACTTGCTTTTTAAATATATCTTTATTGTTCAAAGTATTATAGATGACAGATGTCCCCCACTTTTCCCCCATTGAACCCCTCCTCCCTGCTCCCACCCCCTTCCTGCCTTCCCTGCACTATTGTCTGTGTCCATTGGTTATGCATATAAGATTATAAATTCTTTGGTTTATCTCTGCCTGCCTCCCCCCTTCCCTCTGAGGTTCCTCAGTCTAACAACCAATTTGTACTTTTTTGTTGTTGTTAATCCTCACCAGAGGATCTTTTCCCATTGATTTTTAGATAGAGTAGAAGGGAGGGAGGGAGACAGAAAGGAAAACATGGGTGAGAGAAAGACACATCAATTGGTTGCTTCCTGCACAGGGATCAAACCTGCAACCCAGGTACAGGCCCTTGACTGGGAATTGAACCCGAGACCCTCTGGTCCGAGAGCCAGTGCTCTAACCCCTGAGCCAAACCAGCCAGGGCCCAATTTGTACTTCTTAATCTCTTCACCTTTTTCACCCATCCTCCCAACCCCACCCCTAAATCTGGCAACCATCAAAAAGTTCTCTGTATCTATTGAGTCTGTTTCTGTTCTGCTTGTTCATTTGGTTTATAGATTTAATTGTTCATAGATATGCATTTATTGCCATTTTATTGTTCCTATTTTTAATCTTCAAGAAAACCCTTTGATATTTCATATAATACTGATTTGGTGGTGATGAACTCCTTTAGCTTTTTGTCTGGTAAGCTCTTTATGTCCATTGGTTCTACATGAAAGCTTTGCAGGATAAAGTAATCTTAGTGATAAGTCATTGTTTTTCATCACTTTGAATATTCCTTGCTACTCCCTTCTGGCAAGCAGTTTCTTTTGAGAAATCAGGTGACAGTCTTATGGGAGGTCCCTTGTAGGTAACCGGCTGCTTTTAAGATTCTCTTTGTCTTTAACTTTTTACATTTTGATGATGATGGGTCTTGGTGTGGACCTCTTTGAGTTAATTTTGTTTGGGACTCTCAGGGCTCCCTAGACCTGATGTCTATTTTCTTCACCAAACCAGGGAAGTGTTCTGTCAATATTTTTTTCAAATAGGTTTTCAATCTCTTGCTCTTTCTTTTCCTTCCGGCAACCTCATGATGCGAATGTTTGTATGCTTAAAGTTATCCCACAGGCTCCTTACACTATCCTAATTCTTTTTTTTTTTTTTTGCTGTTCTGATTGGGTGTTTTTTGCTTCTTTATATTCCAAATCAATGGTTTGATTCTTGGCTTCACCTACTCTAATATTTTTTTTTAATCTTCACCCAAGGACATTTTTTTTTCCATTTTTTGTTCAGATAGAGTGGGAGGAAGAGGGAGAGAGAGAAACATCGACGTAAAAGGGACACATCAAGTGGCTGCCACCCACATGACCAACCATGGCTGAGGACAAACTGCAACCGAGGCACATGACCTTAGTGGTAACCAAACCTGGGTCTCTCTGGGCCGCAGGCTGACACTCTAACTGCTGAGCCAAACCAGCAAGGAGTAATATTGATTCATTATGATTATCCTTTATTTCAGTTAATGTATCCTTCATTTCTGACTGGTCTTTTTTGTGCTCTTGAAGTCCTCACTAAGTTCCTTGAGCATCCTTATAACCAGTGTTTTGAACTCAGCATCTGTTAGAATGCTTATCTCCACTTTGTTTAGTTCTTTTCCTGGAGTTTTGTTCTGTGCTTTCATCTGGGACATGTTTCTTTGTCTTCTCATTTTGGCTGCCTCCCTGTGTTTGTTTCTATGTAGTAGGTAGAGTTGCTACGTCTCCTAGGCTTGATAGGGTGGCCTATTTAGGGTCCAGTAGCACAGCCTTCCTGAACACCCTAGCTGGGCACTCTAGGTGCATGCTTCCCAAGTGGACTGTACACCCTTCTGGTGTAATTAAGTCTTGATTGCTATTGGCATTTCAACGGGAGGAATTTACTAAGGCTGATCAGCTGTAAGGACGGGCTGTGCTCACTGACCACAGACCTCTGACTGCCTTGGAGAATCAGCTGTACAGGGGCCCACCACACACAGGAAGACTTACTTCAGCAGGGCTCTGGTACCCACTGAGTCTAACCCTTGAGTATATCCCTTTTGGAGGTGGCTGGGTCATGGTGGTTTGACATGGTCTGAAGCTGCCCACTGGGTGTGCTGGCTCTGCAGCCTCCCAGGAGATGCAGGCCAAGGTCAGACTGTGTTCTACCACGGTTCACCAGGCATAAGCTACAAAGTGATATGCAGATGGCTGCTTCTTGTGCTGGGCTTGGAAGTGTCCAGGAGAGGCCAAGCTGTAAACCAAGGCCAGCTGCTGTGAGTGCTGGGCCTGAGACCACTTATTGAGAGAGATGGGGCTCACTGAGGCCAGATGCTGCTTGTTAGATTTTAGGAAAATCCAAGCATAAGCCAAGACAGGCCATTCCTATGGTAAAGCTACTGGAAACAGCTTGGGCAGGGCCTCAGGGAATCACCAGGGCAGGGTAAACCGTGTGAGCCAGGTTGTTGGAGTCTCAGATATGGCACCCTTTTGCCAGCACTGTGGGGAAAGAGCTTACCTAAGGAACAGCAGCCTCTACCAACATGTCTTTCTAAGAGAAAGCTGCCTCTCCAACTCTTGCCCCAATGCCAAACAACGCAGTTCTTCCCCGTATGTCTCTGGTGCCTTTCAAGCTGCCTCCCCTGTGCTGGAACCCAGCAGGAGCAAGTCCGAGTAAGTCCGTGTCAGGCCCTTTAAGAGAAGTTGCCTGGGACTCTGAAGCCTCAGCCTTTCTCAGCCTCAATTGGCATTGGTTTTTACAGCCAGAAGTTATAGGGACTTCTCTTTCTGGCACTGGCACCCTGAGCTGGGAGGGCTGGGACCCCTTGCTCCTCGGAGAGGACCTTCACAGCCGAGGTGTCCCTCCTTATTTTTATCTGCCACACGTGGATGTGGGACCAGCCCTTCCTCGCCTCCACCCCTCCTACTAGTCCCGATGTGGCTTCTTCTTTAATTTTGCAGCTGTAGGACTTTCATTCAGCTCGATTTCAAGAGGTTCTGAATAATGGTTCTGTAGTTTAGTTGCAATTTTGATGTGGTTGTGGAAGGGGGCAAGTATCACGTTTGCCTAGGCTGCCATCTTGTCCGGAAGTCCTGCACTTGTATTTTGACAGAACACTCTAGGAGTGGTTGGAAGATGAATGGTAGAGGAAAACCAGATGTTAGAAGAGCAACTGGGAAACCCCTGCAACAGTGCAGGGGAGCTGACAGAGGCTTCAACTAGGGTGGCACTAGTGCAGAATGCAGGGAGGGGTTTGAGAAATAATCTATGACATCAAGTAATGTGCTTGGTCATATGGGGTGTCCAGCAGGAATAAACAAGTGACAGGAGGAAGTTTGTAACTCCTGGTTTTGGGGGATGGGAGCTGAATGGTTAGTGATGCTATTAACTGAGACCATAACAGGGACAGAGCAGGGAGAAAATGGTGGGTGTTTTTGGAGTCATGACATCTAACAGGCAGTGGGTAGGGGCAGGACTGCAGTCTCCTCTTGAGAGACAGCAGCAAATCATGAGCATGGATGAGAACATCCAAGCACTTGAAGGTCAGAAGGTCAAGAGCAGAAGTCTGGGCTCACCAAGGTTTAAGGGGTATGAAGGGGAAAACCCTTGAAAGAGCCTAGACACTGTCAGAAAGGCAGGGAGAACAAGAGAATAGATATCTTGAAAGGCTGCAAGTATTGTCAGATAATAATTCCATTGTTGCACAGTAATATAAAGGACTGTAATCTGGGAGCCACTGATGACCAGACTAGCTCATGGAATGGGGGGTAGAAGTCAGCTGACAATAAATTTCTTGCTCCTGCTGTGACTATTTCTCTCACTCGACCAAGGGAAAAGGATTCCCAATGTGCTGCCTGAGAACCTTCCATCCTCTACCTTTCCCTTCTCTTGACCTGGGCCTCCCATCGTAAAGGGAGGACATGACTTGCCCTGTCTACACCAGTCTCTCAAAGCATGCAGAAGATGCTTTCTTTGAAGGTTACCTTTGCAGCTTTAGTAAATGCAACAGCATTGTAGTCTCCTCCCATTCGTAACACATCCTCAGTGCAATAGTAGAATTCAGAAAAGCCATAGAATTCGCTGTTCTGAAAGTGAATCGGGGGCTGGTAGACCCCATTGAGGGAAGTCTGCGTCTCGTTTGTTTTGTTCATGAAAGGCTGGAGAGTCTCTCTACACAGGTCAAAGTCTCCTGTTCCCCGAAGGTACACGGTCTGCCCATTTTGTTGGATTTCGTCTTTAATGTCTAGGGGTAAACAGGGGTCCAGGTATGGAGTATCAGGAGCTAGACCAGTCTGCTTTCCCAGGAGCCTATGAGACAAAGAGAAACTTTATTATAAGACCAATAAAAAAACATTTTCTGAAGAAGTGGCTCCAAGTCAGTACTTCTCAAATGTGTTCTGTGGAAACAAGCCCTGCGAAGTGTTCTATGGAACACAGAGGGCTCCACGATAATTAGGTTAGGAAACGACATACGTGAGCCCCACTTGGAGATTCACATGCGTACGGCAGACACCTTAACAGAGTCCAGTGAAACAACTACCTGTTCAGGAACCCAAAGCTTTCCATTCCCTGCACAGCCTGGTGTCCCAGCTGCTGAGCACTCGTGGTCAGTGAGCTCCTCCCAGTCCTATGTGCACTGCTGTGGCAGGCCCACCAACTGAGCTGCTCCCAGCCACATTTTTGCCACTAGCACTTGTGATTTTTATTATATGAAGATGAAATGTGACTGAAAAAAAGTAACAAGTGAAAAATGTGTCTTGTGAAAACTAGGTTAGATGTCTTAGAAAAATATGATAAAAGTGAGTTGCCAGAAAACTGCTGTCAAATTAGGTGTTAGCAAGATTTAAAAGAGTTTAGAAAAATGAGTAAAAATCTAGATGGATTTGGTATCAAATTCTTCACAAATATCTTTAAGTCCTTGGTATTCTTTAAAGAAAGCGAAAATGATATCAAGTTGAATGGACGTAGTGAATACCAGAGAAATGATGGATGTAGCCTTAAAAAAAACCCTTTAGTCCAGAGCAAAATATTGGCAAATAAACACGTTAATTAAAATAAAATGCTTGAGGTTTGATTCCATTTTTATGATTCTGTTTTAACTGATTTAAAAATAATTAATCAACTAGTGATCCCACTGCTGCAGATAACAGCATTTCTATTGTATTACAGGCTTTGAGAAGTTCTGTAAAAAATTTTAACTTTGCTCACTGAACTGCACTATATCTTACTGCTTCCCAGTGAAATTTCCAGGCATGAAGATCTGTCATTCTGCCATGTATACTCACTGTTGGGCAACTGAGAAATAGGAAAGAGCTCCCAACACTGAAATTATATCAGTGTTCGATACCATAAAATCACAGGGACCTAAAAGGGGTTTAAATATTAGGAAAGTGCCTGATTCAACATTGAGTCACTGACAGTAAGTCAAGTTTGTTTGTTTTTTAATCCTTACCCAAGGATATTTTTTTGCATTGAATTTTAGAGAAAGTGGAAGAGAAGTGGCGGGGGAGACAGAGAGAAACATCAATGTAAGAGACACCACTCAGCTGCCTCCCGCAGGCATCCCTACTGGGGCCGGGGACCAAACCTGCAACCCGGGTACATGCCCTTGACTGGGAATCAAACCCACAACCCTTGCATGAGCCAATGCTCTATCCACTGAGCCACACCAGCCAAGGCAGTAAGTCAAGTTTTTACTTACCATGCAAATGACAAGTTGTTTATGCCTGAGATCAGGGGAATTCAAAATGTACTTGAATAAATTAAGGTCTTTGCTTGCTACTAGTTAAAAATGTTTAATTCAAAAATCATTTATCACTACTAATGGCAAAGGGATAAATATGTATTTTAAGGCTCAATTCATAACATGTAAAAAGAGATGACTACCATCTATAATGATTATAAAAGTCTGACTAGTTAAATGTATACTTCATGCTACTGTTTTGAGTTGCTTGCTCTACATCTAAATTAAGAAGTACCACTCAACTGTCCATTATACAAGTTTCTTGACATTAAAATCAATTAGTAAATATTAGGGTTGCAGAAGAAGGCATTTTCTCAAATTCTGATTCAAATATCACTTATAAAAATACTTCTAAGACCTTCATAAAAAATAAATATACCAAAATGTGCTATGTGTAATATACTACTTTAAAAAAGAAATCAAGGGGCTACCAAGCTCTTAACAATACTGTTCAATTAATGTCTGGTGTAGACAAAGGACAAGTTTTTACTGTCCTTTTTATTCATGTGTGTGAATTTCTGGAAAATGTGATACCAAATGATTCTGTCTTCTTGGTCTTCCTCAAAGTTCAGGCCTCCACAGATTTAAGATTAAATGGATCAAAGAAATATACTATCATTTATCTCTGTGAATTAGAATTTTCCCCCTTAAAATGGTTTCATCAAAACAAAGATAACAAGATAGTAACAGGATATTTTACTTAACTGTACATTTCAGATATTTTTATCCATCCAAATGGCTTTTCTGTTCTTATAAACTTCAAATAAATAATTACTATATACTTGAACGTATAAAATAAATTAAAACTGATAGAGTATTGCTTTTATTTGTTTTATGTATTTTCAACACCAGAAGTGTTCATAAACTCATTTTTAAAAATTTCACTGATGATCGCCCTGGCTAGTTTGGCTCAGCGGTTAGAGCATCGGCCCGCTGACCAATGATTCTGGTCAACAGCAAGTACCTCAGTTATGGTTCGTCCCCGGCCCTGGTCAGGTCATACAGGAGGCAACCAATTGATGTGTCTCTCTCACATAGATGTTTCTCTCCCTCTCTCTCCCTCCTACTCTATCTGATGATAAATAGCAAAAAATCCTTGGGTGAGGATTAAAAAAAAAAAAAATGAAAAAGTATCCTCAGCCCTGACCAGTTGGGCTCAGCAGTTACAGCATCAGCCTGCGGACCAGAGTCCTGGGTTCGGTTCACGCTAAGGGCACATACCATGGTAGCAGTTTGTTCCCAGCCCCGGATGGGGTTGTGTGGGTGGCAACCAGTCCATGTGACTCTCTCACATCGATGTTTCTCTCTCTCTTCCTCCTGCTCTATCTGAAGATAAATACAAAAATGTCCTCTGGTGAGGATGAAAAAACAAAAACAAAATAAAATTAAAAATTAAAAAAAAAAGTATCCTCAGATGAGAATTAAAAAAAAAAGTTTCAGCCCTGGCCAGTTTAGCTCAGCGGTTAGAGCGTCAGCCTCCGGTCCAGAGAGACCCGGGTTCGGTTCCCGCTAAGGGCACGTACCTCGGTTGCAGTTTGTCCCCGGCCCTGGATGGGTCATGCGGGTGGCAGCCACTTGATGTGTCCCTTTCATGTTGATCTCTCTCTCTCTCTCTCTCTCTCTCTCTCTCTCTCTCTCTTTCCCTCCCTCCCACCCTCCCACTCTATCTGAACAAAATATGGAAAAGTGTCCTCTGGTGAGGATTAAAAAAAAAAAGTTTCACTGATGTGTTTAAAACCACTAACTTTGACTTGTAGATGATTTCTTTCTCTTGCATAACTTCCTAGTTATTTAGTGGTCTTATCCACTAAATAAACTGCACAGGCTGGTTTTCCAGAACATCACATAATTATTACCAGTGGTAACTTTATCACACTTCCTGCAGGTGCCAGGACATCTGGCATGGCCCAGGTGCCATTTCCCAAGGGCTCTGCAATCTGAAATGCATTACCCAGGACTCAAAACTACTGTAATATCCTGAGAGTGAAATTTCTAATCCATTAGGGGAGGTGTAGGTCTGAGGGACAGCAAGCCTCCTATGGAGCTTGGTGGGATGTAGGGCTGAGGGCAGGACAGCGGTGTTCTTTCACTTCCTCTCCCAATGAAGCTGCAGAGGAATAAAAAAGCTAACAGTGCTGACAGTCTTATGCTGATTGAGGCCCTGCTTTGCCTAAATATGTTTTCTAGGAGAAGAGACCTGGATTTGAACATGACTGCTGAGCAATGAAAGGTGCTTCACCTGTTCTTTTGAACCATGTTGGAAAATATCTTGTCTTCATATCTCTGTCGAGCAGCATTGCCACCAAACCCAAGAAACGTGGCCACATAGACTCGGTACACGTGCTCAGTCTGGTGAACATCACATCCAAGGTTAAATTCAGCCAGCAAGTTCTTAGCTACTTCTTCCTGACGACATAAGGATAACAAACTTTAATATTTTAAGCAATACAAAAACAATCACCTTCTTTAAAAAGATTCTCATCTAAATGAAGCAAAAATTTCTGCTTCTGTATTTCCTTCTAAGCGTCCCTCCCAATTCAACAATTCTGACTTAAGAACTTTCAAATGCATTGCCCATTTGTGATATTATTAAATTTTTTGAAAAAGGAAGTTAGCAATATAGTTCATATCTGCTAACCTAGTAAATCTATTTATCCATATCCAGGATATCTTATGCTTTGGAAATAATCCTAAACACTGAAAAGTCTCTATATACAAAGATGTCTGTTGCAATTCTGGGACAGAAAAAGCTGATGTCATCTAAATATACAACTCCTAGGGGGGTTTATAATTTATGCTAATCAAGTTTATGAAGAAACAAACTTATGTGCTGTTAAATAAAGGACACAAAACTGCATAAACAGTAAGATTACAACAACCATATTTTTAAAAACTATAAATAGGAAAAAAAAAGAATGAAAAGAACACCAAAATGCTAACAATGATTTTTTCAGATGATGCATCCACAGGAAAATTGTAATTCTGATTTTTTAGTATTTTTTCCAAGCTTGCTTTATATATATTTTTACTTTATTTTGAAGGGAATAACATGACTTTTTACAGAGTGTAACAGTTTCTCAAGGCATGTCTAGATGGGAAGTAGGAAACACAGATTGTAATACTTGAATTTACAAAGCATTTTTCCAAGGAGTTTAATAAATGTATCACTTATTGGGCAAACACTAGGTGCCCAGCAATTGTCTTTCTCTGACTTGTCTAGCTTAATGGTCCATTCATGTTGTTGCAAATGGCAGGACACCCTTCTTCTCATGGCAGTACAATGTTTTTTATCTACTGATTGTTGATGGACATTTGGGTTGTTTCCGTATCTTGGCTATTGTAAATAATGCTGTGATAAACATATGAGTGCATATATCTTGTCAAAGTCCTATTTTCATTTCCTGTGGAAATAAAATATCTACATATCAACATAAAATTAGATATATTATATGTACTACCTCATTTAAACCATATAGTAACTATGTTAGAGGCTCTTGCATTCACATTTATAGATGGAAACCAGTTCAAAGATGTTAAATTACTTGCATAAGGTCACACAACTAGTGAGGACAGGATCATGATGCAGCCTAGGCTTGTCCAGCACTAGTCTTTTTAACTATTATGCTACGCTGGGGGAAAGTAGAGAAAACCAGGTTTTGGTATTAATTTACAGCAGAATGGAAACAGGGTGATAAAGACATGTAGCAATTCAGGAATCTATCTGGAAACCCTTCTGCAGCTTTCCACACAAGGCCACCAGCCTACTGGGAAACCACAGTGACACAGAGCACTGAAGGGATAGAGAAGACCGTAAACCAAAGTTCAGAAACATGGAAGCTGTGGATACAAACCTTAGTCCTTTACAGAAAAGCAAAGCTATCTGAGCCATTAAAAAAAGAAAAAAAAAAAGGTATTTTCCCCAACTATAACATAAGAACTCTGATGCTATTCTTTTTAAGTTTTACAATACCTGATGAGAAAATACAAACAAAATTTAAGTACATGACTGACATCATATATCAAAGAAAAACTCCAGGTAAGTTCAGAAAACAAACCAGATGACTTCAATGAACAAACACAAACAGCTTAGGGGAGGTTTGCCTTGACTTCCTCCTGTCTCCTTTCTCCTGGGTTGAGAAGAGGTACCTCAGCAAGCACAGTAAAGACGAGTTCAGACTCAGAAAACAAAACAAAAATGGATGGAAACATGTTAAATGAAACCAAATCAAAAAGAAGGAAATTTGTACAGATAATAACCTGCTGTGAGGAGGCAAAGCTTACAGTTTTGGGGACTTCGTATGCTATCTGAGTTGACACGCCTCCCATGTCGAGAATACCAGCAGTTCTTTTACGGAGAATGGCTTCACTGCTTTCACTACCAGGAATGTTAACTTCCACAATTGCCTCATCATCTGCAAAGAATGAGAACTATCCATTGGAACAGAACAAATCCAGAGAACCAGGATCTTTGCAAGACTCATCTTGTTTTCATGGTACGTTTCAAGCACGTCTAGGCAAACCCAGCCTCCTCTTCACAGCTAAAATCAAGTTGTGTGAGACAGTAGCTTTTCTCACTCTGTCCTATACACACTTAGCTGTGTCACAAAACTTAAGCTCCTTTTTCATCCTTTATACTAAATAGAAAAAGCCATACTTTCCAGTTACACAAATTAGTTGGAAACATGATACTTACCATCTTCAATATGCTCAAATCGTCCGAGGACAAAATTAATGCCGATCCAAGCATATACACCTATACAGTGCACAGGGTAAAGATAAGAACAGTTTTAAAATATTTTGCATAACTCTGATCAATGCTGTCTATACAAACATTTATTTTACTCCCTGACAACCTGTGAAAACATCATCTGAAGTAAAACATTTCTACTGATGTATTTTATCTTTTTCTAGTGGCTTTCCAACAACTCTCAACTTTAAAATTTAGTTTCATATAATTTACATAGGTTGAAAAAATAATTTCCTAAGGGCTAGTTTTCCTTAGAAATTTATAGGTTGTTTTCAAGTACTAGAGTTTTTACTTTTTAAGAAGTTAAACCTATCAAATTCAAAGTTTTACAGTTAACGTTGACTTTCATTTCCTTTATCCCCTTTCATTCATTTGCAACATCTGATTCTTTTACATTTCCCACATCCAGTCTTTACCCATTTTCATGATCACCTTGATTTAAGCTGTTAGAGATCTAATCCATCTTCCTTCCCCTACTCTTTCACTCCAACCCATTCTATTCTCCGCTACTGATCTACAGAACGAAGTCCAAACTTCAAGACCTGTCCAATTTTTTATTGAATAAATTGAACATGTAACATTATGTAAGTGTGGTGTATAGTGTGTTACTTTGATACATTTATATATGGTAATGATTGCCCTTATAATGGTATTTATATTACATAATTATAGTACAATATTATTACCTGTATTCATTATGCAGTTGAATTTAAATCTGCTGTTAAGTTGACCTGCACAGTTCACACATGTGATGTTCAAGGGTCAACTGTACTGTGCATTAGATCTCTATGGCTTATTTACTACATGTTACAAGTTTGTACCCTTAAACACCATTAATCTTACCCCTGATCCCCATCCTCTGGTAACCACCAACTTACTCTTTTACAAGTTTGACTTTCACATTCTAAAAATAAGTAATATTATACAGTAATTGTCTTTCTCTGACTTGTCTAGCTTAACATAATGTGCTAATGGTCCATTCATGTTGTTGCAAATGGCAGGACATCCTTCTTCTCATGGCAGTACAATGTTTTTTATCTACTGATTGTTGATGGACATTTGGGTTGTTTCCGTGTCTTGGCTATTGTAAATAATGCTGTGATAAACATATGAGTGCATATATCTTGTCAAAGTCCTATTTTCATTTCCTGTGGGAATAAAATATCTAGAAGTAGAACTGCTGAACCATATGGTAGACCCATTGTTAATTTTTTTTTAGGAACCTCCATATTGTTTTCCATAGTGATTAGAACAATTTACATCCCCACTACTAATGTATAATACAAGGGTTTCATTTTCAACACATGCTCAAGAGCACCTGTTCTCTCATTTTCTTTTCTTTGTCCTTCAAGATTTTTTAAAATTTTTATTGTTGAATGTATTACAGATGTTCCACATTTTTCCCCCTTTGACCCCCTCCTCCCCACTCCCACCCCCTCCTGCCTTTTCCCACACTGTTGTCTGTGTCCATTAGTTATGCATATATGCATATAAGTTCTTTGGTTTATTTCTTCCCACCACCCAAACCCCATTCCCTTTGAGGTTTGTAAGTCTAGCAACCAATTTGTACTTCTTAATCCCTTCTCCTTTTTCACCCATTCCCCCCATTCCCCCCTCCCATCTGGTAACCAACAAAATGTTCTCTGTATCTATGAGAATGTTTCTGTTCTGCCTGTTCATTTTGTTTGTAGATTCAATTGTTGATAGATATGTATTCATTGTCATTTTGTTCATTCATATTTTTTGTCTTTTTCTTCAAGAAGACCCTTCAACATTTCATATAATACTGGTTTGGTGGTGATGAACTTTAGCTTCTCCTTGTCTGGGAAACTATTTATATGGCCATAGATTCTAAATGACAGCTTTGCAGGAAAGAGTAATCTTGGTTGTAGGTTCTTGCTTTTCATCACTCTGAATATTTCTTGCCACTCCCTTCTGGCCTGCAAAGTTTCTTTTGAGAAATCAGCTGACAGCCTTATGGGAACTCCCTGGTAGGAAACTAGCTGCCTTTCTCTTGCTGCTTTTAAGAGTCTCTCTTTGTCTTGAACCTTTTGCATTTTGATGATGATGTGTCTTGGTGTGGGCCTCTTGGGGTTCATCTTGTTTGGGACTCTCTGTGCTTCCTGGACTTGTATGTCTGTTTCCTTCACCAAGTTAGGAAAGTTTTCTGCCATTATTGTTTCAAATAGGTTTTCAACTTCTTGTTCCCTCTTTTCTCCTTCTGGCACCGCCAACATGCGAATGTTGGCACGCTTGAAGCTGTCCCAGAGGCTCCTTACACTATCCTCATTTTTTTGGATTCTTTTTTCTTTTTGCTGTTCCGATTGGGTGTTTTTGGCTTCCTTATATTACAAATCGATGATTTGCTTCTTGGCTTTACCTACTCTACTATTGAATCTGTGTAAATTATTCTTTATTTCAGTTAATGCCTCCTTCATTTCTGACTGGTCCTTTTTTGTGCTCTTGAGGCCCTCACTAAGTTCACTGAGATTCTCACTAAGTTCATTGAGCATCCTTATAAGCAGTATTTTGAACTCAGCATGTTAGGTTGCTTATCTCCATTTTGCTTAGTTCTTTTCCTGGGGTTTTGTTCTGTTCTTTCATTTGGGACCTATTTCTTTGTCTCCTCATTTTGGCTGCCACCCTGTGTTTGTTTCTATGTATTACTTAATGAGAGGTATGGGGCTACCTGAGACTAGGTGCTGCTTGTCTGAAAGAATTTAGGAAAACCTGAAGCAGGATCTAAGACAGGTCAATCCTATAGTTAACCAACTGGCAATAGCTTGGGTGGGCCTGAAATTTGGGTGGGGTGGGGCGGGGCAAACAGTATGAGCCAGGTTTCTGGAGTCCCAGATATGGCGGTTCTCTGCCGCCCCAGGGAAGGGCTCACCAAAGGAACAAAGGCCTCTGACAGCATGTCTGTCCCAGAGAAAACCCCCTCTTCAGCCCTCGCTCCAAAGCCAAACAGCTCAGTTCTTCCCTGTATGTCTCTGGCGCCCCTCGAGCTGCCTCCCATCCAAGATTAGACGGAGTGAGTCCGATAAGTCCATGAACGGGCCCTTTCAGAGGAGCTGCCTGGGGCTCCAGCAGCCTCAGCCTCCCTCAGCCTCAGTTCCTGCTGGTTTTTCCAGCCAGAAGTTATGGGGATTCTCTTCCTGACACTGGAACCCTGAGTGGGGCGCCTGGTGTGGGACAGGGACCCCCCCAGTCCTCAGGGAGACTGTCCCAGGCGAAGTATTCTAAATTTTATCAGCCACACCTGGGTGTGGGACCAGCCCCTCTGCCTCCACCCCTCCTACCAGTGTCGATGCAGCTGCTTCTTTAATTTCGTAGTTGTAGGTCTTCCATTCAGCTCGATTTCAGGCGGCTTTGAATTATGGTTGTTCTGTAGTTTAATTGTAACTCTGATGTGGTTGTGGGAGGACGCGATATCACGTTTACCTATGCCGCCATCTTTACCCGAAGTCTTTTCTCTCATTTTCTTGATGACAGCCACTAAAACAGGTGTAAGGTGATGTCTCATTGTGGTTTTAATTTGCATTTCCATGATGACTAATGATACTGAGCATCTTTTCATGTGCCTGTTGGTCATTTTGATGTCATGTACGGAAAATGTGTTTCATTCTCTGCTCATTTTTCATTTGGATTGTGTGTTTTTTTTGTTATTATTATTAAGTTGTATGAGTTCTTTATATATTTTGCATATTAAACTGTTATCTGCTATACAGTTTGCAAAAATTTTCTTCCATTCTATAGGTTCCTTTTCATTCTGATTGTTTCTTTTGCGGTTAAGAAATTTTTGAGTTTGATGTAGTCCCATTTTTTGTTTGTGCTTTTGGTGTCAAGTCCAAAAAAATCATTGCCATGATGAATACTGATGAGCTTCTTCTCTAAGCTTTCCTCTAGAAATTTTATGGTATCAGGTCTTATGTTTAAGTCTTTGATACATTTTGAGTTAAATTTTGTCAGTGGTATGAGGTAGGGGTCCAATTTCACTGTTTTGCATGTGTTTCTCCAATTTCCCCAGCACCACTTGTTAAAGAGACTACAGTTCTCTCACTGGGTGTTCTTAAGTTTTCTTATTAGCTGACTACATAAGCAGGGATTATCTGGGCTCTCTATTTGGTTTCCCTGGTTCATGTGTCTATTTCTGTGACAGTACCACAGTTTTTATTACTATGGCTTTGTAGTATAGTTTGAAATACAGAAGAGTAATACCCCCAGCTTTGTTCTTTTATTCTCAGGACTGTTTTGGTTATTCGGGGTTTTGTGGTTGCACATAAATTTAAGAACTGTTCTATTTCTGTGAAGAATACCTTTGGTATTTTCATGGGGACTGTGTTGAATCTGTAGATGGCTTAGGATAGTATAAACATTTTAACAATGTAATTCTTATAATTTATGAATAAACATGTGATGTCTTTCCATTTGTTTGTTTTCTTCAGATTTCTTTCAGCAAAGTCTTGTAGTTTTTCATTGTATAGATCTTTCACTTCCTTAGCTAAATTTATTCCTAAGTATTTTTGTTTTTGATGCTATTATTTCTTTCTTAGATGCTTCATCATTAGTATAAAGGAATGCAACTGATTTCTGTATGTTGATTGTGTATCTTGCCACTTTACAGAAATTGTTAAGTCAATGATTAATTTTTTGAATTATACATATATATACAAATATATTATATACATATATAGCATCAGCATATAGTGACAATTTTAACTTTTCCTTTATAATTTGGATGCCTTCTACTTCTCTGTCTTGCCTAATTGCTCTGGCTAGGCCTTCCAGGACTATATTGTGTAAGAGTGATGAGAGCAAACATTCTTGTCTTGTTCTTAGAGAAAACACTTAATATTTTTCTCCATTGAGTATAACACTAACTGTGAGTTTGTCATATATGGCCTTTATTATGTTGAGGTATACCCAATCTGTTAAGGGTTTTTATCATAAACAAATGTATTTTGTCAAATGCTTCTTTGTGTCTGTTCATGTGATCATGTGATTTTCACCTTTCATTTTATTGATGTAATGTATTATGCATTTATTGATTTGCATATGTTGAATCCTTGTTGTCTCAGGAATAAATCCCACTTGGTCATGGTGTATCATGTGCTCTTGATATTGGTTTGCTAATATTTTGTTAAGAATTTTTGCCTCTATATTCATCAGGATATTGGTCTACAGTTTTCTTATATCCTTATCTGGTTTTATCAAGGCAATGCTTCATAGAATGAGTTTTGGAGTATTCCCTCCTCCTAGACGTTTTGGAAGAGTTTGATGAGGATTGTTGTTAATTCTTTAAATGTTTGGTAGAATTCTCCGGTGAAGCCATCTGATCCTGGAGATTTCTGTGTTGGGAATTTCTGATTCCTGATTCAATCTCTTTACTCATTACTGGTTGTTCAGATTGTTGATTTCTTACTGAATCAGTCTTGGTAGGTCGTGTGTTTCCAGATGCATATCCATTTTTTTCTAGGTATGTAATTTGTTGGCATATAATTGTTCACAGCAGTTTCTTATGATTCTATGCATTTCTGTAATACCAGTTGTAATGTCTCTCCTTTCCTTTCTAATTTTGAATCTTCTTTTTCTTAGTCTAGCTAAAGGTCTGTCAATTTTATCTTTTTATCTTTATTATTTCTTCCACTCTGTTAACTTTGGGCTTTTCTTTTTCTAGTTCCCTGAGGTGTAAAGTTAGGTTATTTGAGGTCTAATTTCTTACTATACATGCTTATTGCTACAAACTTTCCCTCAGCACTGCTTTTGCTATATCCCACAATATATGATACGTTGTATTCCATTTTCATTTGTTTCAAGATAATTATTTCCGTTTTGATTTCTTTGACCCATTGGTTGTTTAGAAGTGTTTAGTTTCTATATATTTGTAGATTTTCTCACTTTCCTCTTGATTTTTAATTTTATATCATTGTGGTCAGAAAAGATAGTTGGTATGGTTTCAATCTTTTTAAAACTTGCTAAAATTCATGTAATCTATTCTAGAGATTGTTCCATGTGCACTTGAGAATAATGTATTCAGCTGCTGTTGGCTGGAATGTTCTGTAGATGTCTGTTGGATCAATCTATTCTAACATGTGGTTTAATTCCAATGTTTTATTTTCTGTCTGGACAAACTATGCATTGCTGATAGTGGGGTACTGAAGTCCCCTACTATCATTGTATTGTTATCTATTTCTTCCTTAAGATCTCCTAACATTTCATTGCTTGGGTGTTGGGAGCATATATATTTTTGTCATAGCTTCTTGATATATTGACCCCTTTATCATTATATAATGGCCTTCTTTGTCTCTTCTTACCCTTTTCGTGGCCACACCCATCTTTTTTAGGTTTCTGCTTGCTGGGAACACTGTCTTCCATCCTTTCACTTTGAGCCTGTGTGTTTTTTGAGCTGAAACAAATCTTCTATAAGCAGCATATAGTTGGGTCTTTTTTATTTTTTAATCCATCTAGTCACTCTGTGCCTTCTTTTTAAGGTGATTACTAATATGTAAGGATTTACTACTGCCATTCTACCTTTTGTCTTCTGGTTATTTTGTTTCTCCATTGGTTCTCTATCCTATTTCTGTCTACCTTTGTAAGTTAGTGGTTTTCCATGGGGATTTGCTCACTCTCCCATTTCTGTTATCTTGTATCTCTGCTCTAGATTTTTGCTTTGTAATTGCCATAAGGTTTACATAAAACATCTCATAGATAAAATAGTCCTTTTTCGCTAACAACAAATTTATCTTCATTTGCCTATAACGGTTCCATCCTTTTACCCTTCCCTTTTATATTTTTTATGTCACTAGTTATCTCTTTTTATGCTGGGATTTTGTTACCAAGTTGTAGTAGAATAGCTACAGTTATTTTTAATGCTTTCCTTTAACCTTTATGCTATAATTGTTTGCTGTACTATTCTAAAAAATAGTGACTTTTCTAATTTTGACTATTTATCACCTTGATCAGTTCTGTGTACTTTTCTCTTTTCATTTCAGCTTAAAGAGCTTCTTTCAATATTTCTTATAAGGCAGGTCTAGTGGTTGGTGAATTCCCTCAGCTTTTGTTTGTCTGGGAAAGCCTTCATTTCTCCTTCATACCTGAAGGATAACTTTATCGGATAGAGTAATCTTGACTGGCAATTTTTATTTCTGAGTACTTTGAATATATCATCCACTCTTTTCTGGCCTGTAAAGTTTCTGCTAAGAAATCTGCTGACAGCCTAATGGGGGTTGCTTTGTAGGTTACTGTCTTTTTTTTTTCTCTGGATGCCTTTAAAATTCTTTACCATTAATTTCTGACCGTTTTAATACAATGTATCTTGGAGTAGGTATTTTTATATTGAGATAACAGGGTGTACTACTAGCTTTGTAGACTTGTATGATTCCTTTCCTAAGTTTAAGAAGCTTCAGTTACTATTTATTTGAATACATTCTCTGCTCCTTTCTCCCCCTCTTCTGATATACCCATTAATTTTATGTTGATTCTTCTAATGGAGTCCATAGTTCTTGAAGGATTTCTTCACTTTTTAAAAATCTTAGTTCTCTCTCCTCTTCCACCTGAAGCATTTTTATATTCTTATCCGCAAGCTCGCTTATTCTTTCTTCTAACTGATATGCATTATTTCCAATGCTTCATTCATCTCATTTGAGTTCTTCAGCTCCAAAATTTCCCTTTGGTTCTTTTAGAATTTCAGTCTCTTTGATAAAGCACTCCTTCAGTTTCATTAATTTTATTCTTGAGGTCATTTGTCATGCTGAGTTTTCTTGTAGCTTAATTTCTTCACAACAGCTTTTCAAAATCCTTTATCAGCCCTGGCAGGTATGGCTCAGAGGTAAGAGTATCACCCGCAGACCAAGGAGTCTCGGATTTGATTCCGGCCTAGGGCATGTACCTCGGTTGCAGTTCATCCCCAGCCCCGGTTGGGGTTGTGCAGGTGGCAACCAGTCAATGTGTCTCTCTCACGTTGATGTTTCTCTCTCTCTCCCCCTCCAGCTCTATCTGAAGATTGTTAAAAAAATATATAGATATATCTGTATCATATATATATCAATCATTGGGTGAGGATTAAAAAAATAAATAAAAATCCTTTATCAGTTTGGTTACTAATAAATTGTCATTTGCTTTTTGTGATACTGTATTAGTGTGATTTTTCATAGTGTTTGATGAAAGGTGCCTCTGCTGTGCATTTCAAGTAGTGAATACCTTTCTTATTTAGGTAAAGCTTGGTTTATTTTGATTCTAACAATTCAACAGGTTCCCAAATACTTTTTATTTTCCAGAAGGTGGTGCTATAGCACAAGTTTTTGGTTTCTCTTGCCATAGCTGAGTAGGTTGGGAAAAAGCTCAACAAAAAGTTGGTGGGGAGGGAAAAAAAGGTGGTGGCCACAGAACTAGAGAAAGTGTGTGCTTAGTACTTGGTGCTTTGCGTGTGTCCACAGATCAGAGAGAGGTATCCATGAGTGGGGTGTGTCCCAGATGTCCGTTTGTGGTCCTCTTGCAAGAATCCTGGGGCAGATAGAATGTAATGCATTCCTTCAGTTCTCTTTGCCTTCTTCCTTTTCTCTTCCCCAGTTACTGTGATGTCTTCTCAGAGTCAGCAACAGGTTTCTCCAGCTGCAGCATGCATGGCCAGGTAGACCTCCACCTCCTCTGCCAGAAAGGTCACACTGACCCATTGCCACCTCTGCCACTACTTGCCTGGCTCCACAGCCCCCTCTAGTATTCAATCCACCTACTTTCGAGTAAACAGATGAATAGATCTCTCAGGTGCTCTGGTGTGCTGTGCAGAGATGCCCTTTTATTTTTGGTTATGAATGAATGATTATAAGTCAAAGGGAGAGAAAAAAGGAATGACTTACTCTGCCAAGACCTGTCCAACTTTTACTATTATTAACACCTTTCAAAAGAGCCACAATCCAGTCAAACTAAAACATTTTTGTTCCTCCATCTATAGCTGCAGTTTTTTCAACCTAGGTTGACCTAAATACTTTCTTCTGCCTGGAATATGCTTCCTAGCCCTCTCTCAGAGCCCTACCTATACCATGCTCTGGCATGCTATATTTATAACTACCATACTTTAGGCACAAATCAAATGTCATTTTCTCCATGATGCCCTTAGCTAGGGGGAAAAAAGAGTCTCCCTCTTTTGAATTTCCATGATACTTTTTCCTTATCTTCCTTATGGTACCTAAAACTGTACCTCATAAAGCGGTTAACTGTGTATTTCATTTGCCTGTACACATAACAATGGCAATATCTGAATTTCACACAATTCTGTATTCTCTTCAGTGCCTTTCAGAGGCGGTATTTGCTAAAATGATAGATGATTTCAAAATAAATGTTTTTTGCTCTCCATTTCTAGCAAGCTATTCCCCAAATAATGTCACTAACTTGTCATTTAACTCTCAAAGGAATCATTTCTTTGAAAACAAAGCTAATATTTTCTCAGTGTATCCAAGTCAAGAATAATTTCCCCTTCCTGAGAGAAAATCAACAGAAGGCTCCAACAGCTCCAAAATTATCGTAATTCCAGAAAGCTGTATATCTCAGGCAAGGAGCACAAAACTCTTCTATTAAAATGAGTTCAAAAATTGTTTCCTAAGTGTGGTGAAGACAAATTAAGTTATTTTTTTAATGGCTTAATGTTTGGATAATAAAGTCCAAACTAGTAAGAAACTAGTTTTGCTATTTAAAAATAGTAATATTTCAAGGCTATGGTTTTCCAAATTTTAAGATATTAGGAGTATAATTTAATAAAGTATACACAGCAGGAAATGGAGGGTTTAAAGCAACAGTTTCCCAAATTTCAAGGTGAAGACCAATATACTAACCTTCTTGTTTCCCTGAAATTACTTCTGCATGAGAGTCAGAAAAGAGGAAGTCAAAATGCACAGGGATATCAGTCAGAAGATCTTCTAGGATGGCTTTCTGCTGGCTGTAAGACAATCCAAAGATGTACATATCAAAATATGATATTCTGAATTTTTGTTTTAAAAAGAGGAAAAAAAGATTGTTTATTTTAGGAAGAAATTTTTAAGAGTTGTGTGAATTATGTGATTCCTAGATATAAAACTACAAATCCTTAAACTAACAAAACAGAAAATCAGTTTTTTAAATGACAACTTTATAGTTTACTATTTACAGTCATAAACAAATATATTAAAAGATATTTGGTGAGTTCTAGTTAAGAAAATAGTTCTGGCACTATTCCAGATTTGAAGAAAATAATTTTTAATGTCTTCCTTTTGATGATGATGATGGAAGAGAAGGAATAGGAGGTAAATGAGAAGGAAAAGAAACCACCACCGCTCTGGTTGGTTTGGCTCAGTGGTTAGAGCATCAGCCTGCGGTCCAGAGAGATCTGGGTTCAGTTCCCACTAAGGTTGCAGTTTGTCCCCGGCCCTGGTTGGGTTGTGTGGGTGGCAGCCACTCGATGTGTCCCTTTCACGTCGATGTTTCTCTCTCTCTCTCCCTTCTACTCTATCTGAACAAAAAGTGGAAAAGTGTGGATTAAAAAAAAGTGAGGATTAAAAAAAAAAGATACCACCACCAACCACCACCACCATCACAGGCCCAGGCACTGCCCTTGTGCGGACAATCACCTTTCAGGAAGGATTCTCATTCCAGCTGTGCACAAAATGTAGAGAGGGGTCTCTTTGTGTTTTACCCGTGGCACATGCTCTGCAGCAAAGTTCAAGAGTGGAGAAATGTAATCACTGACTTTCTCTGGAGAGGTAGCAAATTCTGAAATGCCTACAGAAAAAAACACTTCTGTTAACAAGTAGGTATTTTAACTAATAAGTTATACTTCTTCAGAGTGGCTAATTTGAGAGAAATTCAAGCTATATACCATACTCTCTTAGTTTTTTCCTGTCCCTCTGGCAACACCTTTCACAGTCTTTCTTCCTTAAATGGTGGTACTAAACATTCAGTCCCATGCCCTCTTATTCTCACTCATCAAAAATCAGACTTAATTTAGCATCTATTATGTGTCAGACACTTGAAGTTGATTACACGAGCTCATCCCTGCCCTTGGTTCGTGCTCCCGCTTTCCTCACTCTCATGGTTGCTATCACCATTACTTTTCCCTCATCAGATCTCTTCTCCAACCTGCAGATCAGTATGTGGTAACTTCCCATTGAACAAGGCAATGTGCTTGTTCTCATAGCCCCCATACAACTCAACATATGCAAATATGAACTCAACATCCACTATAAACCTGCTCTTACTGCGTATTATCCACCTCAGTGATCACTATCATTTGCAATCCAGTGGTCCAAGCCAGTATCCTAAATAAAATCCTCTCCCTCACCCTGTGTTCTGCATTTTATTGACTGCCTCTCCTTGGTTCCCTCACATTTTTTCACTTCTCAGCTCTTCTGAATACTCCCACCCTCTGCCAGCCTACGCATCCTACTCTCTAGTCTTGAAATTCCCCAACCACTCCCTATGCAAAAGGGCCTCTTCCTGGCTTAAAATCCTTTTGGGGCTCCTCAATGCACTCTAGATAAAGCTCAACTCTAGAATGGTATAACCTGCCTTGCATACTCACCTAACCTATCTCTTCCCACGTTCCTTCTATTTGGCTTCAACTATACGGAATAAAATTTCTATAATGCATCACACTCTGGCTTTATGGCCCCTGTACCCCACCAGGAATAACCTCTTTAACTGCCTCCCTACCTACTTCCCACCTCTTCTCACCTGGCTAACTTCTCCTCATCCACTGAGCTATTACCTCTATGGAAGTCTTCCCAGCAGAACCCTGAAGATGAGCTCTCTTTACATTCTATGCATATCCTTACGCTAGTCGTAGCACTCACTACTTTATCAAAACTACCTTCCTATGCTTGTCTCATTTCAACTGGAAGTTTTTCAAGAGCACAAATTGTATCTTGTTTAAATTTATATTCTCAGCACTAACACAGTACCTAGCAAATAGCAGGTGCTCAGCAATTTGCTGAATGAGTACCTAAGTGAGTGAACATTTTTTGCTGTCACTGAGCCTACAATGTTAAAGATGAGGAGAATTTCAGAAGTTCAAAAATCCCTTATTTCATAGACTAGGAAATTGTGGACCCAGAAAGATTAAGTAATTTGTCAAAGCAATCAGCAAGAAACAGACTAGGGCCCTGGCCGGTGTGTCTTAGTGGCTAACGCGTTAGCCCATACACAGGAGGGTTGTGGTTTCAATTCCTGGTCAAGGGCACGTAACTGAGTTGCAGATTCCATACCTGGCCTGGTAGGGGCACCTTTGAGAGGCAACCAATCAATGTATATCTCTCACATTGATGTTTCTCTCTCTCCCTCACTTCCCTTCTACTCGCTCTAAAAAACAAAACAAAACAAAACAAAAAATGAAAAAAATATCCTTGGGCCCTGGCTGGTTTTGTCAGTGGTTAGAGCATTGGCCCACGGACCAGAGAGTCCCAGGTTCGGTTCCCACTAAGAGCACATACCTCGGTTGCAGTTTGTCCCTGGCCCCATGGGGTTGTGTGGGTGGCAGACAGTTGATGTGTCTCTCTCACATTGATGTTTCTCTCTCTCTCTCTTCCTCCGTCTCTCCTTCCCGCTCTATCTGAAGATAAATGCAAAAATGTCCTCGGGTGAAGATAAAAAAAAAAAATCCTTGGGTGAGGATTAACAACAACAAAAAGACCGAGTCAATTTTTTTGACTCCACATACAATACTATTTCAATGGACAAGCCCAAAACTATCCAGAACCTATTAAGGAAACTTCTAGCGTAGCTGTAATGCTACATACAAGAGACTGTGCTTCAGGACAGAGGAGAGCTATAAAAAAGTTCTTGACTATCCACTTCAAGCATTTCTTGTAGCATCAGAGAGAACCACATTAAGCTTTATTTTAATGAGATTCTGGTGTCTAGCCTGGGATGCTGGTGTAGCTGTTTCTTTGTTCTCAAAGGAAAACTCTAAAGTGTGAAAGTTTTCATCTTCCAGGGCAGCAGTTTAATCACTGATGGGACCTAGTATGTGAAGCTAGATGAAATGCCAAGTATTTTACAGAGTTTTGGTTTTTAAGATCCTGGTGAATTTTTAACTTGATCAATACTGCTTTAATCTTGAAAATGTTTCTAGATTAGGGATACAAAGAAATTTCAGGGGTAGGAAAATAGAAAAGTAAAAGTTGAAAGTCATCCACTAAGACTTAGAGAAAAAATAATCTTTGTTAACAAAAATGTACTCTGATAGCAAAATAATGCTTGTACAAGAGACTCAGATTGAGTTCCTTTCTCTTTATCCTAAAAAATGAAGTAGAGATTTTGAATTTTCTGAGCACTTTGCTGGAGCCCACCTGCCCAAACATCAAGGAACAATAACTTGTTGAGGGTTGCCTGAAGAGGAAGTAGGGCCTGAATTATTCAATGAAGAATGTGTAGGACTCGAGGTGTCTACAGTTAGGAACTGTTTTATGAGGACAGGTATTCTATCATGTTAAAACTGAAGCTCCCTCCCTGGTCAAGTAGCTCAGTTAGTTAGAGCATCAACCCAATACACCAAGGTTGTAGGGTTTGATACAAGAGCAACCAGTGAATGCATAAATAAGTAGAACAACAAACCAAAGTTTCTCTCACTCAAGTCAATAAATAAAAAGTTTACAAAAAACAAAACTGAAGCTCCTTTTCACTTGTTTTTGAAATAGGAGATAATTAAGTTATGATAATTATTTTTATCAACATTCTCTAATATTTTAAAAGATAAATTATTTGGATTGTTTGGACTTAATATTTTACTATCTAACACATTTGGCAAGATGAAATTAGAGTACTGAATCTCTTAGATCTATGGTTCATTGTTTTATCTTTTTTTTTTAATCCTCACCCCAGGATATTTTTTTATTTATCTTCAGATAGAGTGGGAGGGAGAGAGATAGAAACATCAATGTGAGACAGACACACCACTGGTTGCTCCCTCCCCCAATCCTGACCAGGGCCAGGGACAAATTGCAACTGAGGTATGTGCCCTTGACCAGAATCGAACCAGCGACTCATAAGTCCATGGGCCGAGGCTCTAATTAATGAGCCAAACCAGCCAGGGCTATGGTTCATTGTTTTAAATCGGTGATAATCAACTGTCAAGACATAAAATACCTATTTCAAGGTACTCCTGACACCTTCTATTCCTAATGCTATTGAAGAAGGGCACTGCCCATGGAAATGATACAGATACAGAAAAATGGTTGAGAATTACTGATTTAAATTGTCTAATGGGGAAGGCACATCACAATTTTTCTGTAACACACTGACTTAAAAATTGTGTATCTTTGAAAACTGGACATAATGATATCAGCTGTTCTAAGTTCTATTAAATAATCTAGATAAGTAGAAATATATTGGGGCAGCAATTGTGAAAATGACAAATATATACCAACATATTAGAGTACAGATTTCCATGAGTTATCTGAAATTACCTTGTCATTAAGGAGAGAGACCAATGGCTATCAAATAGAAAAAAAAAAATTCTTCCATAATTACTGTCAACTATCAAACATTTGAGTAGACACCATGAATAAGGAACTATCGTAAATGCTGCAGGAGACAAAAGAAAGACAGTGTTTGGGTATTTTATTAAGGTGTTAACTGCCTTATGCAAGAAGGATAGAAAAGAGGAAAGGAAGTAAAAAAGTAAAACAAGAAGACTGACTGGGTCCTGCTATGAGAGAAAAGGAAAACTGTGAGACATCACAGAGAATTAAAGGACAGAGCCTGGTTATCAGTCAGACATTTATCATTTACATACCTGGTTTTATTTTCATAACCACTGGCTTTCGGTTTTTATCCCTCATTTGTCTGATATCCAACAGATCACGAGGATTGCCATTATGCCTGGGCCAGCAATAGACAAATATTCGAGACCCACTGCTACCACAGTCCACCACGATGCCATAGTTCACATTGGGGTTATTGGTGTCTGTAGCTTCAATGTCAGTAACTCGTGCCAAGTACCTTGTTTAGAAAAATAAACATATACTCTTCATAAAACTAAAAAAGTACAATAAACCAACACCAAGTCAGTGATTTCTAAGCTGTGCAGCTCCACCAATGTAACATTTTTACAACTACCAAATGATTAGAGTCAAAAGAAAACAGTGACAATGATAAAAAATTTAAATCAGATATACACTTATTATTCCTTTAAAGAAGTTCAAGCAAGTTCTGAAAAGCAAAATTACTTCCAAACTGTTAACATTAACTGAAAATTCAGCTTAAAAGATATCACAGGAGAAACTTATGTTAAATCCTCTTATGATGTGGATTTGGTGGTTAATGATTAAAGCTTCAGACAGTTTAATTTTTCATGCCATGCTATATTCAGTATAGTGTCTGGTTCCTACAGCCACAGGCTCCTTAAATTCCACCTAATCCCAAGGTCTTGAAGCCATGAAACGAAGGTATGGCATCCCATTTAGAAAACAAATGTTTTCTTCTCTTACCTTTGAAACTTTTTGTCTCTGGATAGTCGCCCATATTTATTTCGGATTATGACAACAGAAAAGTATAAAAGTGAAACAGCAGCAGCCAGAATACTAATCACAATAATTTGGCGTAAGTTGGTATTCAAAATTCGAGGACATCCCACTGGAGACATGCTAAAATGCCAGGAAGCAGGAAAAAGACAGGAGATGCCAATTCTGAAATTCCAAAAAACAGATTTTAAAGCAATCTGCTCCAAAGAAGCCTCCCTTTACCTAAAATGATTCAAAGCAAGACATTCAGTTTGAGCTGCCCCTACTTCCCTGCCAATAGGTATCTGTACACCAGCATCTTCTATATTGCTATTTTGCTACATAATTCATTAGTCATGCACTGCACAACGATACTTTAGTCAATGATGGACTGCATATATGACAGTGGTCCCATAGATTATAATGACGCTGAAAGATTCCTAACACCTAGTGACATCATAGTGCAAAAACACAGTATTCACATGTTTGTGGTGATGCTGGTATAAACAAACCTACTATGATGCTAGTTGTATAAAAGTGAAGCACATACAATTACGTACAGTGCATAATACTTGATAATGATAAATGACTGTTACTGGTTTATGTTTTTACTGTACATATTTTTATCATTTTAGAGTGTACTCTTTTTACTTATTAAAAAGTTTGCTGTAAAACAGTACCCCATGTTATGCAAACAGCAGCCTCATACATCTTGAGTATGCTGCATCTCTTGATTGCATCATTTTCTCTTGTGCTTGATTTAATCTCGTGTTGTTTTGTATAGTAACGTGCTGAACAGGCTTGTAGCCTAGGAGCAATAGGATATATCCTATAACCTAGGTATACAGTACACTATGCCATCTAGGTTTGTGTAAGCGCACTCTGTAGTGTTTGCACAATGATGAAATTGCCTAACAATGTATTTCTCAGATAGTATCCTTGTTAAGTGGCACATAATTGTATTATAAAGTTATATGAATGAGAATTAAGCCCTGATGGTTATGACACTTCTGTGTTTTCCCCCTTTCTTGAGAGAACTATAAAGATTATTATTTGTACCCTGCTTTGTTCCAAAAAATTAGAAAGAATAAGTTCAATAATGTAAATATATAAATCTATAATAAAATCAAGTTTAAGGGTGATAAAAACCAAAAGACAATTTAGTACATAGGAATGCATGTAATTAGGTAGGCCTTAAGAGATGGCTTAGAATCCTTGTGGACAAAAACACTGCCCATTAGACTAGAAACATCTCAATAGCTTAAAATGAGTATGGTTTTCTTAACACTGAATTTCAAGGCAAATTTCTCCCTGAATAACGAGAAAATAGTATCTTTAACATCACCATAACGAAGTCAATAAATGAGTTATGTATGTCTTGTTTTTGGAAATATTCCTTAGAAATTTTTGCAAATAAACACTTTTCTTCTCAGTTTATGTCAGGAATGAGAAACTTTATTAGGCTTAAAAACACTTGCTAACTTTAGGATAAATTTTATTGTTTTTACAGTTAATTTCTACACTCTTCCCTTTATTACTTTTTGACTTTTTTTCTTTATTGATTTTAGTGGGAGAGGGAGGGAGAGATAGAAACATGGATTGGTCGCCTCCTACATGCTCCCCACTGGGGATTTGGCCCACAATGTGGTCATGTGCCCTGACCAGGAATCGAACGATCAATGCTCAACCACTAAGCTATACCAGCAGGGCCTATACTCTTTCCTTTAAAGAGTACTTCTTGGACTTGCAGAAGGGGGAGGTATCCTACTAATCCAATGGACTCCTGTAGAAGCCATCTGGCATTATCATTTTCTTTCTGTGACAGGTGCCCGACTGGGCCTTGAAAGAATAAAGTTATAAAATAGAAGTGCAGCACAACTTTGAACACTTTTCACTTGAGATTTATGTATATTTTTCCTCTCAAAACCTGTTTCTGTGGCAACCAAAATCTCGGGTTTTCCATTGCAATGATTAGGCACCATCACTCACCTCCCCATGCTGACAGGTCAGAGGTCAGGCAAACTTCTGGGAGTCAGTCCTCAACCACCATTACAGAAACAATGAGGTCCTCCGTGAGTCAGAACCCTCCTATTCCAGGAAAAACAAATCACAAAGATGGCACAATCCAGGAAAGGTCTATGTTAGTTATGCACTGTGTGTTTAAATCCCACCACACACAATGTAGTACATAATCCTTGCACTGAAACTGTTAAAAAGGGTTTGAGTACATAGCTTCTGTATTAGCACTGACCTAGTCCATGCCTATCTTTCTGGTCTAATCCCCTGACAGACAGACAGATATGTACCCTATGCTCCAGACATATTAAACACAAGCTGCAAGTCACGATAATGCCCTGCATTCCTCTGGATTTGTAGAATGACTCTTTTGGGTCCATCTGTTGGTATTCCTATATAATCCTCATGACACAAGTCAAACATGATTCCTCTGTGAGGACTTCCCTAATCCTCATATCCCCAGCGTATTTGCTCATCACAGTAGTGAGCTACAGTATTATACTTGTGGCTAGCTGACTTTCTCATCTCATGGCAAGCCCCTCATGGGCAGGGGCAGCAACTTATTCTTCTGTTTCTCCAGTGACCAGTGCCTATCACAGAAGTGATGAACAACCAGTGTTTGTTTTATGGATGGCTGGGAATGGGAGATACAAAGATGCATCAGACATAGATCCAGCCCTTAAATTTTTAAGGCAGTAGAGGGGAAAACACACACACACACACCCCCCCCCACACCCCCCCCCCCCCCCACACACACAGTATTAGTAAGGCCTACCTAACAAAGGGGAAAAACCACTTTAATTAGTTCAGGTTTAAATATGGTGTCCACATTGTACCACAAACCCAAAACTTAGGACAAACAATATTTGTGATTTAAAATTTATGAAAAAAGGCCCCGGCCAGTTTGGCTCAGTGGTTAAGAGAATCAGCTGGCGGACTGAAGGGTCCAGGTTTGAGCCCTGGCCCTGGTAGGGGTTGTGCAGGAAGCAACCAATCAATGTGTCTCTCTTTTTTTTTTCAATCCTCACCTGAGGACTTTTTTTTGTATTCATCTCCAGATAGAGGGGGAGGGAGAGAGGGAGGAAGAGAAAGAGAGAAACATCCATGTGAGAGATATACATCGAGTGGCTGCCACCCACACGACCCCAACCGGGGCTGGGGACAAACTGCAACCTAGGTAGGTGCCCCTTAGCGGAAACCAAACCTGGGACTCTGCTCCGTGGGCTGACGCTCTAACCACTGAGCAAAACTGGCCAGGGTATCAATGTGTCTCTCTTACATGGATGTTTCTCTCTCTCTCTCCCTCTCCCCCCGCTCCATTCCACTCTATCTAAAAATCAATTTTAAAAAAAGTTTACGCAAAACAAAAAAATGTCAATTACCTAGGTGTTTACATGAACTTTAATGTTTTCATAAAGTAAAACTTCAGTGAGATTACTACATTATACATTTATTAGAATTCCAATGACTCAAAGATTAAACTATTAAGAATATTAATGAAAATGTAGATAATCATTTACATAATTTTAGAATGGGTATGGCTTTTCTACAATGATATCAGTGTCTCAAACTATAAATGAAACAAAACACATCTACACACGAATTTAAGACTTCGGAATGTTTAAAAATAAAAATGCATTCTTAAATACACAAGGCTTGGGGAAATTATTTGTAACATATATGACAAAAGGTAAACAGCCCTTACATATAAAAAGTTCATAAAATAAATACATGAGAAACATTGAAACAAGTGAGCAAGGATAACTGGAGGTTAATAAAATAAAAAATACAAATGGCTGATAAAAATAACTTCATTAGTATTTACAGAAAAATAAATGAAAACAAGACTTTACCACTATCAGATTGGCAGAAATTAAAGCCTGAGGATACTCTGCTAACAAGGGGGAGGGGAAAAGGTCATGAATACTGCTGGGGAGAATCTAAATAGGTATTAACCTTCCAGGGGCATATTGGTAACAGAAATGACAATTTTTAATATGCTTACCCTCTGCTGAACCTATCACAGTTCCAGAAATTCATCCTTAGAAAATAACAGGATAAAACTAAAATATGTATGAAGATGTTAATCATAGTATTGTGTATAATAGCAACACATTGCTTCTAAACTAACAGGTAGTACAGGGGGTGGGTTAAATTAAACATGGTCCATTTATGCAACAGAATACACTATGACTATTAAAGGTGATCATGCAGATCTATATTTATTGACATGGAAAGATGTCCATGATACATTAAGTGAAAAAATTGCACCATGCATAAGAGGGGGAAAAATGGAAGAAGAAAAGCCAAAATGTTAACAGTGGTTAGTTATTTCTGAATTGTGAGATGATGGATCATTTTTATTTTCTTTCCTAGGCTTACGTATATTTCTTAAAGGGCATATATTAATTTTATCATCAGAAGAAACAACAGAACTATTTTTAACAAGCTACCTTTGGCTGATAACTTCAGTTTCCAGCATCAAATCCTCTTCTGGATAGATCAAGAAAGCCTAGCTTAAAAAGTCTTCATAACATAGGAATTCCAATCTGAACATTTTTTTGTGATAGTTGAACTAAAAAAAAAATAATAATAATAGAATGCTTTAGTTAATAGCCTAAAGTCAAGGTCCCTGGGGGAAGGAAGGCCTTTAATGATTCAATGATGAACACTATGAAGTGATATGAAGGGCACCGAGGAGTAACAGACCTGACTCCAGATTTCAGGGAGTCTGCAAACTGGTTACAGAGAAAATACTAATACTCAGGAAATAATCAAGAGTGTAACAGAAGGCAATGTTAAATTATTTGGACTAACAGTGTTCAGAGAAGAGCACCATGAAGGCTGGTAAATAGGAACAACTTCCTGAAGGTCGAAGGGGGGAGAACAGAGAATATTTTTCAAAAGAGAAGATGCACTGTTAGAATGATCAGAGCAAACTTGGTAAAAGTTTTTTATCTGGTGTTTGTCTTAGGATTTTTTTTTTTATCCTCACCTGAGGACATTTTTCCATTTTTTATTCAATTAGAGTGGGAGGGAGAAAGAGAAACATCAATGTGAAAGAAACACACCGAGTGGCTGCCTCCCGCAGGACCCAACCAGGGCCAGGGACAAGCTGCCACCGAGGTTCGTGCCCTTAGCGAGGTTCGTGCCCTTAGCGGGAACCGAACCCGGGTCTCTCTGGACCGCAGGCTGATGCTCTAACTGCGGAGCCAAACTGGCCAGGGCAGATTTTTTTTTAAGATGTGATGATTTCAACACAAAGGATAGATATTTTTGTAAGTCACAAAAACTTGTGTTTAAAGACAGAGAAAAATAGGACAGTTTATAAATTGCTGAAGTCATTACTTTTATTTAGGACAATAAATAAAGTATGGCTGAATATTACCCAGCAGTCAACAATATGGTAATTTGATCTTAAAATGTAAACTCCTGCCCTGGCCGGTTTGGCTCAACAGTTAGAGCGACAGCCCACAGACCAAAGAGTAGTGGGTTCGATTCCAGTCAAGGGCATATAACTCAGTTATGGTTCAATCCCTGTCCTTGTTGGGGTCGTAAGGGAGGCAACTAATCTGTGTGTCTCTCTCACATCAATGTTTCTCTTTCTCCCTCCCTCCCTCTCTCCCTCCCTCTCTCCCTCTCCCTCCCCCTCCCCCTCCCTCTATCTGAAAATCAACAGAAAAATATCCTTGGGTGAGGATTTAAAAAAATAAAAATAAAATGTAGCCCTGGCCAGTTTTGCTCAGTGGTTAGAGCGTCGGCCTGCGGTCCGGAGAGACCCGGGTTCGGTTCCCGCTAAGGGCACGTACTTCGGTAGCAGTTTGTCCCCGGCCCTGGTTGGTCGTGCGGGTGGCAGCCACTCGATGTGTCCCTTCACGTCGATGTTTCTCTCTCTCTCTCTCTCTCCCTCCCACTCTATCTGTACAAAAAATGGAAAAATATCCTCGGGTGAAGATAAGAAAAAAAAAAAAATGTAAAATCCCATTGTATTTGCAGCTAAGAATCTTGGCACCAAAGTTTAGGAAGGCAACGTTTTTTCGTAATATCACATAAAAATACCAGAGGCCTGAATTATGTTAGACCTATCATCAGAGAGATGCATTTATTGCATTATGATTCCGGCTAGTGCAGCCCACCTTAGCTGAACATTCTTTAGTGGAGGAAAGCCCATCTCTCTCAACTGATAGTCCGAAGAAAACCAGTGAAAACAATATATCAACTGCAAAGTGAAAAGCTTCCTGTGGTGAAAAATGCATGATGCAATAAAACAGACATCAGCAAATTCTCAAATCATATGAAAACAAAATAACAGACAAATGAGACTCTAGAAGAGCTAGACCTCTGAGTAAGAAAAGATAAGATGACAGGAAGGGTAATTTAAAAAAGAATGATGTGGCCCTGGCTGGTTTGGCTCAGCGGTAGAGCGTTGGTCCGCAGACCAATGAGTCTTGGGTTCGATTCTGGCCAAGGGCACATACCTCGGTTGCTGTTCATCCCTGGCCCTGGTCAGGGTCATATGGGAGGCAATCAGTTGATGTGTCCCTCTCACATGGATGTCTCCCTTTTCCTCTCTCTCCCTCCCACTCTATCTGAAGATAAATAGAAAAATATCCTCAGGTGAGGATTAAAAAAGAAGAATGATGCGAATATCAAAGGTTACAAGGGGACATTGAAAAATCAAAAAGGCCCACAAACACTTAGGTAGAATTTTGTAAGATAAACCTGTCTTTGTGAGAGTGAGAGGTAAGTGAAGGATATTCTGTGGCACTCAGTTGTGGGGAAAAAAACATCAAAACTTGATTCATTCTGTTTTAAGAAGACTATTTTCTTTAATATTTATTTTTAAATTTAAAACTTTATTTTTCAATATCAAGTCCTAATCAGACCTCTTTCTCTCACTATTCATTTGCAAAATTCTGGTCCCCATTTTAAGAGATCTTTTTCTGGTAACACTTATTTCTGAATCACCTCTGTAGTTTTCTAAATCTGCAACTCTGACCTTCCTCAAGTTCCAGTTCCACATTCTGAGCTTACAGATGGCTGCTATCGCAAACTCATTTAGTCTAAGCCTGCTGTCACAATCCTTTGACACAAACTAATACCACCTTCCAAGTTCTCCAGGTGACTGGAGTCACCTGGTTCTTAACTTTGATTCCCACTTAACCTATCTACTACCAATTCTTCCTCAAAAAATCCACACATCAAAAATGACCACAGCCCTGGCCTGTTTGGCTCAGTGGTAAGAGCGTCGGCCTGTGGAACAGAGAGACCTGGGTTCAGTTCCTGCTAAGGGCACGTACCTCGGTTGCAGTTTATCCCCGGCCCTGGTTGGGTCGTGCCGGAGGCAGCCACTCGATGGGTCCCTTTCACGTCAATGTTTCTGTTTCACTCTCTCCCCTTCCCACTCTATCTGAACAAAAAATGGAAAAATGTCCTCGGGTGAGGATTAAAAAATAAAAAATGACCACAGGCTTAGCCAGTGTGGCTCAATGGTTGAGAGGTCGCTGGTTCGATTCCCAGTCAGGACACATGTGCAGGTTGTTGGCCTGATCCCCAGTTATGAGGCATGCAGGAGACGGCCAATAGATGGTCTCTCTCATCGATGTTTCTATCTCTCTCTTTCTCGCTCTCTCCCCCTTACTCTTTCTAAAATAAATAAAGAAAAAGAAAAAAAAATTTTTTTTAATGACCACAGAACACATCACAAGACAGATCTCCAGGAAGGTTACCCACCTTATGCTTTCACTGTGAACACCACCCTTCCAAAATAACTCTTTGTAAAATACTACCTTCAAAATATGACCAACTCAAAAACCCTCTGGAGTTTATGCAGTCAACACCAACTTTTCATCAACTGATCACATCTTACTTTACCAATTTGTTCTCTCCTCAGCCCCAGATGACATATCTTTACGTTACAGTGAGGTGGGTCTCTTCTCCCCCACACAAGCTGTTCTCATTCTTGCCTCAGGCCTTTAATAATATCACTTCTTCCTCATGTGCCAAACAATGAACAAACCTGACACAAAGTCAAGATAGCATCAAATATAGGATAACACAAAGAATATGATTCTTTTAATTCTGTTCAAGGCTGGAGAATTAGGCATTTTCATTACACAAGGCAGGGCACAGTCAAGAAACTAAAGTAGGGATCTGAGTCACTAATTTAGAATTCTTTAATAACCTCCAGTTTATCTTTTAGCATGGAAGTTGCTGAATTGTAAAGCATGTCTTTACAATTTTCTTTCCTAATAGTGATCAATGTTTTCTGAAAATGCTCTGCACCAGTGTTCCTTTAACTGGGTTCTGGAGCATCATATTCCAGAGAATAAGACAACCGTTCCTTTAAAAGGTGTCCATGCATTATTCAAGTCTGAGAAACTGCTCTCATCAAGACTGTACTGCCCAATTAGTTCCATTTCTTCAAGGAGAAATCTAAAGCACGAAATTTGGTAAAAGCAGAGCAAAGCACAAACGATGGTGAATGTGAAATGTTAGGATAAGGCGCCAGGCGAGAACCACGGAGCGTTGGTGCAGCATCCACACTCCCCGGCCAGGTCCCTCCCTAGTGAGGGCCAAATCCGCCCACACCGCGTATAGGAGGAAGACCCAGCGTGGTCACCGGAGCCGGCGCGACAGCACGACTCCCAGGCTGCCCCTCCCAGGGGTTGGGGCACAGCACCTGCCGCCCAGGGTCACGGGCACTGCCCGCCCGGGCGCCCGGACGTAGCCGGGCGGCGGGGGAGGCATGGACGCGAGGAAGACAGACTGTAGGAGCCGGGAGGCTCGCGGACAGAGGGCTGGTCCGCGGCCCTCGTCGCCCCGCCGAGCCCCACGGTCCAACTGTCCCTGCCGCGGGCAACGTACGCGCCGGGCAGGCCGCCTCACCTGTTCTGCAGCGCCTGGCTCCGCGGCCGGGACTCCTAGGGGCGGGGAGCCGTGAGCGGAGCGCATCACGACCACCACGGAGAGGCGGCAGGGCAACGCGGCACCGGCTTCCCGGAGGCTCCGCTCCTTCCCGGGAGCCACACGGCCGGCCGGTCTCGCCCACGTTGCGTCACCGCTGCGCCGGGAGCGCGCACGCCGAGGGCGGGGCCTGCGCCGGGAGGACGCGCGTTACGTGCGCAGCTGCTCCGCGCGAGCCCCGGGACGACCTGCGAGCGGCCGCGCTGAGGCAGGTGCCGCGGAGGTGACCGGTACGGTGGCAAGGTACCGCCAGGTCCAGTCTGCTTGTCGGCGAGATGCGTCGTGCTTGGGACACTGCGGCTTGTCTTTCCTTTGTGCTGCTAGGGATTATGGAAAATGAGATTTGAAAACCTTACAAGAGCTGGAACATTTTGCTCAATTCTTGACGTTTTTGCCCAACTCTTGACATTTTTACAACTTTACTAGGAGCTGTCCCTGTTTTGTAAATGGGGAAACTAAGACGCAAACTCAGCGACTCTCTTATGTCCAGATAATTAGTAAGAGCCAGTATTTCATCCTTGCCAAAAGTTGCCCGTATCAGCGCTTATTCTGGGGGAGACAGATGGTCCCCACATGAAATGGATGTGAGAAGACTAGTGTTCCTGAGATTGACCCCATGACCTGATACTGGGCTCAAGGCCCCTCTCTCTAGCTTGACAAAAAACTGCCTGGAAGTTACAGAGCTTGAAAATCATGGCTTCTATCCTTTCCCCCTCTTTTGTTATAGGTGAATAAACTGCTTTCCAGAAAAAGGAAGTGACCAGCCAGCCTAGCCACTTTTTTTTTTTCCTCCTCACCCAAGGACATTTTTTTTTTTTTTTTTCATTTATCTTCAGATAGAATGGGAGGGAGAGAGGGAGGAAGAGAGAAACATCAATGTGAGAGAGACACATCGAGTGGTTGCCACCCACATGACCCCAACTGGGGCTGGGGACAAACTGCAACTGAGGCATGTGCTTTTAGCAGGAACCGAACCCAGTCCACAGGCTGACACTCTAACCGCTGAGCCAAACTGGCCAGGGCCAGACTAGCCACTTTAAAATAAATTTATTATTATTATCATTATTAGTTTTTTAATGAGAGCCCTAGAAATATCTACTCAAATATTTACTTGTCAAGTAAAAGAAGCTTGGACAGAACTAGTAGTTATACATTTTAAGCAGAATTTTTCTTGGTCCAGCATCAGATTGGGTCATCTCCTCTTTGTGATAATGTTTCATCCCTGGATTCAGATACTCTTCGTGGAAAAAGGCTAGCAATGACCAAGAGCCTTGTGCTTTAGAACTAAATACTGTATTTTTTACTATTATTCCACATTGCAATCATAAAATCACAGAATGTTCCAGTCAAAGGGACTGCAGGAACTGTCTGGTCTAAACCACTTCCTTTTAGTGTTAAAGAACCCGGGACCCAGAGAGGTTGAATGACTTACGCAGTAAAGCAGAACCAATGGTTCTGACTCCTATTTCAGGGCCCTTCAGTGGCAATCTGTAGCTGTTAAAAAAGAAAAAAAAAAAAAAAAAAAGACCAGTTTGGATAGCCTACACATTAGAAACCTCTGTGATGTGTACCTAAGGTTAGCTCTGAGAAGCTGAAGTAGTTGGCCACTCACGCTTCCTCAAAATTATGTGCCCTTCAAAGTCCTTACCATTTGAGATTCTGGTTTAGATTATGATAGTCTTTCTCAAGAAGGCTTCCACAAAAATGCCAGAGTAGTATTACAGTTGTCCCTCACCACTTTGCACTTTGACTTTTGCGGCTTCACTCTTGCGGTTTTTTCAAATATGTTCATTAAAAAGTTGATCGAGACAGTGAAAATTATAACAGCGCATGCTCGGTTGTCTGAGCTATTTATACAGCCCTGTATTACAATTGAAATTAAAATTACTGTACATATGGACTGTAGGTCTATGTATTCGAGCACCCCAGGAATCCTTCAACACCAGGTGCAACTACTAGAGTCTGGAACGGATTAACCATTTTAAACGAGGGACGACTGTATTATGCCATCAGTATTTCCTGATAATTCATCTGTAATAATTATTTGATAAGAACTAGAAAAGAAAATATAAATAAGTATGAAAACATGTAACATAGTATATTAATTTCCTAGGTCTGCTGTAACAAATTACCCTAAACTGGTTGTCTTAAGATGACAGAAATGTATTCTTTCACAATTCTGGATGCTAGAAGTTAGAAATCAAGGTATTGGTAGAGCCATGCTTTCTCTGAAGACTCTAGGGCTATATGGGACCTTTGTTCATTTTCCTGGGACCAGCAGAACAGATCTAAGTTGTCTTACAAAGGTCTAGGTTGTTCCTTAAGGCCATAAAGGCATGGATGTACAGGACTTCAGTCCATTTGCCCTGATGACAGCAGAAAAGATCTAGTTGGCGAATGGTATTATAATTAAGGCTTTCATTCTCTGGCCAGGCTTCCTGGTTCACGAGGTTGTATTGGGGTCATGCTTTATTGCAAAAGAAGACCAGCCACTTTTTCCTTAGGATTTGGGGGTCAAATTTTGATCAGTTCTTGAGGATGCATCCTAGGGGAGAGTCCTGAGGAATGGAGTTGGTTTCCCATCTGGCAGAGACTAGAGGAGAGTATGATAGAAACAGGTGTCCCCATTTTCTCCCCCCTGCCTATACTGGGCTCAGAAGGAGAGTGTCCCCTGCTTCATGCCTGGGTTTCCAGACTCAGCCAGCTTTACTGTGTAACCTGCCCTCAGTCTCATATGAGACCACGTCCCTAAATTCACCAGTGGGATCTCCCTCCTCTTCAACCCCTTGTTGCTGGGGTTCATATGTATACCCTAGTCTTGAGCAACTGAGCTTGACAGTGCTTTTCTAGTCTTTCCCATTCCCATTCCTCAGGAGATCTGGCAGGCAGTGCTTGGTGTCAGGGACAAGGATCTGACTCCTTGTTGTCCTTTCATTAAGTTCTGAAATTCCCAGAAAAGGTGGTGGACCATTTGGAGAAGACTAATTGCTTGCAGGAAGATGTCCCACCTTATACCTGGGGGCTTCCTTTTATCCCATTCCCATTTCAGTTTTCTATAGCCCTTTTCAAGGTGACCTGGCTCTCTACAAAAAAAGGGGGGGAGGGGCTTCTCCTACAGGAGTTTCCTAGCAGAGCCTATTTATTAATTCTGTTGTTTTACAGATAGATTAGTTGGAATAGGTCAGAAAAGGCAGGACCATATTTTTTTAACAGTTAAGTTAAATTTCTTTGCAAGCCCATCGGGGCCCCAGAGAGTCAGGAAAATCTTGAGGAAGATTCCTTAATTTTGTATTAGTATAAAGAATGTATACAATTCCTGTTTCCCTTATTGCTTAAGGCCAGCCTTTCTGGTTCTTCTATCCTGGGTGCAATTTGCCTGTGCCTCTCCCAGAAGCCTCTAATTTCCGATCAAGATAAGCTTTCCATTCATTTACTTTTAGTTTTAGAGCTGGCTTTTTCTGATTTGCATGCAAAATAATTTTAGGCCTCAAAAGAGCTACATTAAAAAATAAAAAAAATCCTCACCCAAGGACATCCTTCCGTTTATCTTCAGAGCAGGAGGGGGAGAGAGAGAGAGAAACATAGATTGGTTGTCTCCTGCACAACCCCGACCAGGGCCGGGGATCGAACTGCAACCGAGATACATGCCCCTGACCAGAATGGAACCTGTGAGTCTCTGGTCCGTGGGCTGACCACTGAGCCAAACTGGCCAGGGCAAAAGAGCTACATTTTTACCATCTTAATTTGATATCACTTCTTGTTAATTTGTTTTCATTTAAGTACTTGCAAGTAAGGGCTTCCTGTTAGTTGTTAAGATGTATTAATGGGGACTGGGGTCTGGGAGTTTCCAGCCTTGGAAAAACTAGCCATCCACTTTTTCCTGCCCTTAGTTATCTCGATGCTTATCTATAGCCTAGGTTCTTCTCAACCCTTAGTCTTTAGCTCCACCTTGAGGATTTCCAAAAAGCTCAAAGAAAGTAAGCCTGAATTTAACTTCAGACACAAAGGGAGGTAGAGAAAGGGGAAAAAAGAACATCCTTCTGGGCAAAGGAACTAGTAACCTGACAGGGAAAAGCCATGGGGGAGGATCTTGTGTGATTTTATAGTGTTCCTGGATGCATGGACATTGTCTTGCAGTTGTTGGGGTGCCTAGTGCAAATTTCCCCAGTCCATGACCGACTCATCCTGTCATGGTAGTCTTCGAGCGGCTAGCATCTTCATGGCTTTTAAACGCTCATTTTGTGTCCGCGTGGTTCAGCAATCCACAGAGAAAGAGAAAACCCTGCAGCTGGAGGAAAAGATACAGGGAGGAAAAAGGACACAGCCAGGTCCTTCAAGCCTAGGTGTGAGGACAACCAGTGGTGAAACAATCCAAGTCACAGTAAGAATAATATGAGTCATGGCACCAGATATGTTACTGGTGAGACAAGGAGACCTCGGTTCTTGTCTTCTTGAAGTACAGATTTCAGTCAAGAGACAAAGTGTAGCAAAGTAAGAAAGAATTTATTGGCCACAGCAAAAAAACTTAGGGCAGTGAAACAATGAAGGCCATAGAAGAGGCAACAGGAGACCTTAGGCTGGGCTGCTTTGGCTCACTGGGCAGTCAGAGAAAAGGGGGCCTTGGAGACAGGTTCAGGGAGTTAGCCCAGGATGAGCTGCTGCTGCCCATTGCTCTCTAGTTGCAAGTCTCATGAGGTCCCTTAGAGGGAAGAAGGGGAAGAGAATGGTGCTGACCTGCTCCCCTGGGGGAGAGCATGCACTGGGTCCTTCATCCTGAGCATATTTCTCTTTCTTGCAGGTGGGAATCTTAGGGGAGGTCTCAGGGGAGGGTCTCAATAGAATATTCATTAGTTTTTTAGGTGTGCTCTTTAACGGTCATGGTCTCCACTGATTGGTCAGTGCCAGGGCAAGGGGGTCAATAGTCAATGTAGCTGGTCCTGAGGCAGCCACTGTGTCACATGTCTGCTTTTGTTGCTTCTCTGGGCCTGGAGCTGAAATACAACTGAGGCCTAGATGTTCTCTTTAGGAAGGAAAAGGTCAGGGCATCAAACCACATGACCAGTGATAT